CTGAGTGACATGGTGTCCGTTCTGTGGAGGCAGGAGCTGTGTGGAAGACTTTGTGGATGGAATACAGCTCTACCAGAGCCTTCAAGGTTGGATAGGATTTCACAAGGGAGAGGGCAGTGCCTACCCAGAGCCCAGGTGCAGGAACAGCAAAGAACTGGCATGATTGGTATAGCTGGCAGGAGCAGAGGGTGGAAAGTGGCCAAGAGGTGTGGCTGTGTGCAGAGCCAGAGCAGAGCCAGAATAGGGAGCCTCTGGAACGTTACTGGGATTCAGCCCTGAACCCAGCAGGTCCAGAGCCCCACTCTGTGGTATGTGGGGGATGAACAGGACCTGGTCTTGACCCTACAAGTGCTGTTAGTCTCCTGGGGAGGACTAGAACTTGAGCATCAGAATTTTAATTCGAGACAGAATGGGATGCTTCCGGTGTTGGAACTAGACACAGTGCAGTGGGAACAGAGAGGAGGGAGATTCACATTAGCCAGAAGATTCCAAGAAAGCTCCAAGAAAATAAGGTGTTTGTGCTTCTGGAGGACATAGAAATGTTTTAGCTTTAAACTTACCGTTTTTCTATGTTGTTGGTTAAAATTTATGGAATTGCTGAGCTTTAGTCTTGGAAGAGACCTTGGGATCTTCAGATCTTTCATTTAGCAGACGAGGAAACGGAGGCCCTAGGAGATAAGGGACTTGCCTCAGATGGCACAGCCGCAAAGACTGAAAGCCAAGTCCGTGGACTTGTGATTGGCTTCTTTATATGTTGGTCTGTGAAGTTAGGGATTTAACAACCATTTTGCTGGCCTCTAAAGGAGCTGAGGGATAAATTAGCCTGTTGAGTGGACCTGGAGCCCCTGGTATTTACCCAAGCAGTTCATAAGCACTAGAGTTTTCTTTTCTTTTCTTTTTGAGAAGGAGCCTGTCACCACTAGGCTGGAATGCAGTGGCACGATCTCAGCTCACTGCAACCTCTGCCTCCTGGGTTCAAGTGATCCTCCTGCCTCAGCCTCCCAATAGCTGGGACTACAGGCGCGCACCACCACGTCCCGCTAATTTTTGTATTTTTAATAGAGACAGGGTTTTACCATGTTGGCCAGAATGGTCTCGATCTCTTGACCTCGTGGTCCGCCTGCCTCGGCCTCCCAAAGTGCTGGGATCACAGGCATGAACCACCATACCTGGCCAGCACTAGAGTTTTAAGAACCTGAAGGGTACCCAATTCAAAATAAAAGTAGGCTTGGTTATTCCAAAATCAAGTAAAGAGGAAGCAGGCAACAGTTCTGTTTTGCAGCTTAAATGGAGCAAGGATTGAGAAGCCAGAACCAAACCATAGCAGCTCTTTTCCTACTCAGTTCAAAGAACGTTTAGCAGCATGGATATACCAGCCTACCCATAGAGCAAACATAAATGAACAGCCTCAGCTGCTAGGGCTCATGTTTCCAAAGCTTAGAAGGGCAGTAGCTGCAAAACTAGCTAGTCTCATAGTGACACTATGTTCCCAGGCAGGGAACATTCTAGAGATCAAATTGGTTGAGAATGATTTTGTGAATTAGCATTCATTTTTAAATACCTCTCAGAAGACTGATGTTTGAAGGGTCCAACCTCTTGTTGAACTTGGCTTTTTAATTGAGTATATTTCTTTGAAAGGTTGGTTTATTTGGTTAACAACTTCTGAATTACGAGTAACAGGTTTGGTTCAGTTAAGAAAGTGGACATTGTAGATTTCCTGACCAAGTATGTCATGGTAAAATTAGGCAGGTGCAGCTATCCAGTTGTCCAAGCCACTTGAGTGCCCCAGTGTTTCTGGTGAGCAGGCAATAGTCCCTAAGCACTGAAGCAGGGAAGGCTTTTAAACCAGGAAGGGACTGGCGGCGAGAGGAAGATGTATCCCACAGCATGCAGTGTAGGATAGCATCCAAGGATGGGCTGCAGGCATTGAGACCTGTTGGAGCTCACCGTGGCCAGAGCCACAGCAAGTCAGAAGTGGTGGTGTCAGGAATGCAGAGGGAAGGATGGCTGTAATTCATGTTTGGAAGGATCACTGGGATCTGGTAAGAAGGTACTAGATTTTTCAGGGAGTAGGTGATGAATAAAGCGAAGACAGCTTGGTAATCTGCACCCTGGTAACTACAAGCATGGTGCTGTCATCAGTTGAGACAGAAGAAGGGTGGTGGGAAACGGCAGAGGAGCTGGTCTGTGCGGAAGACAAATCTGGCTTAGGATAAGGATTGGGAAACTATAGTATAGTTTCTGTATAGCCCGTGACTCTAGTTCTGTATAGCCTGTGACTAAGAATTGCGTTCACCTTTGTTAAAACAAAGAAGCATATGTGACAGAAAACACTGACCAAGCCTCAAATATGCACTCTAGCTCTTCCCAGAAGTTTGCGGTCCTGGTTTAGAGCACATTGGCTATGAATGGGGCCTCTCAGGAGTTGGTTGGAGTCAGCAGGGGAGGGAAATGGGGCCTGAGGCAGCAGTGCAGCCCTGGGCCGTGTGTGCGTCCTCCTCTCAGCTGGGGTCAAAGCAGAGGACCCAGGAAGAGGGCACCAGACTCACCTGGCATGAATAGGCAAGGAGCAGCAGAGGGACAGGCGAGGAAGAGGAGGAGATTCCAGAGGCCCAAGAAGGGGGTTTCACAAGGAGCTTTTGGTGCAGCCCCAGGAGTCAGGGCATAGTGGGATGGGGAGAAGCTGAATATTTGGTCACAAGCAAGGGGGGTGATTTTTAAGAGAAGAGCTTCTGTAGAGGGCTAGGCACAGAATCCAGATGGCATGTGCTTTCACAGGGCGGGCAGTAGCCACTGGTATTAGATCATAATTGTTGTGACTGCAAGGTCAGCTGAAGGCATTTTCAAGATAGGGAGATTGGAGCATTTGTGAAGCCATGAGATTCAAGCCACAGAACATGGGAAATTAGCATCTTTGGTTCAGAGGAGCGGACAGTGGGTGGTGGGGTTCTGAGCAGGGGTGGAAGGGTTGTTTGATGGAAGAGGAGGAGGAGAATGCCCTGGAAGATTCTCGAGCATGGCTCAGCTGATGTCCTTGTGAAATGGGAGGTGAGGGCATGTGCTGAGGAGGGGAGTGGGAAGGGGGCAGCCTGGAACAGCCACTTGGTGGGACACCACTAGGTGTGCGGCGAAATCCATGAGATGAACACAGAATCCTCGTGTGCAGCAGGTGCCCCCGGAGGCCCAAGTCCCAGTGTCTTCCTTCCTCTTGCATCCGTTTTAACAGACGTGGACAAGGTGCACTTTGGGCCTGAGATAAGCTTGGGGATTGAGACAGGCAGCACAGGGGTAGCGGGTGGCTGTAGAAGCATCAGGGTGTCTGCTCTCCTCATCCAAGCTGGAGATGGAGCTGTGATCCTGAATGAGCTGTGAGGGACTGGACAAATTTTGGAGCTTTGAAAGAGCCCCTTTCCCCTTCTCAGTCAATCCATTGGCTTCAGAATGGAAGAGAAGAGAGCAGCCCACAGAGCTGAAGGTCGCAGAGTCAGTTTCTTCTTTAGCGGAGACACATTCATTGTCCGGAAACCAATATTATCTGACAGCAGCAAATTAGTAGTCTGTGCTGCTGCTGCCATTGCGTGTCAAGTCTGAGGTTTATTTATTGAGCCGATGAGCGGGGTCTTTCAGGGTCTGTGTGACAGGTACTGATCTTTGTCACTGTCTGACTCAAGTTTAGCCCTGGCATATGTGGAATTACCGTGTGCAGCCTGCCAGACATCCCTGTGGGTGTGAGGAAGCCTGTGACACAAGTATGATGACCTACTGTGTGACAGGCATTGTGGGGACATGAAGGTGATGGAGAAATCCCAAGTGTGATTTTGTCAGTGGAGAGATTTTATGGTCTAAATTTATTACCCGACTGATGAATTGAGGTCCTTACATGAATTTCTCAAAGACAACGTATTTTTAGTTATTTTGTGTTCCTTAAAGTTCTGTCCCTCTCCATCCCATCTTTTATATTATTGTTGCATTCTGAATGTTTGGATCCTTCCTCAAATTCCTGTGTTGAAATCCTGACCCCTAAGGTGATGGTATGAGGAAATGGAACCTTTGGTGGGTGATTAGGTCATCAGGGAGGGGACTTCATGAATGGAATTAGCTCCCTCATCAAAGAAACTTCTAAGCGCTTCCACCACATGGGGACACAGCAAGAAGATGCCACCAGTGAGAAAGTGGATCCTCACTAGACATGGAATCTGCCGGCACCTTCATCTTGGACTTCCCAGCCTCCAGAGCAGAAATAAGGTTTCTATGGTTTATTAGCCACGTCTCCTTTGGTACTAACCTGTTAGAGCAGCCCAGACAGATGAAGATAATCGACTCATGTGAGGCTGAGGACCTTATCTTTCACACACTCAAGAAATCCACTTCCACCTCAGTGCTTATTGTGGGTTCTACGCAGAGTCTACATTCTAAGATAATTGGCTATTATATTTTCTAGGATTGGAGAACATCAAGCAAACCACGCTTTTAGAAAAACTCTCCTTCCTTTTACTTGTCAGTAAAGGTAGGAAGTTGAAAAGGGATATTAGTGTGTTTAGCAGCCCTCTGCTCCTCTTCCTTTTGAGGTTTAATCAGGGTGGTTCACAGATGTTCTGAATACCAATTTAGCAACACCAGATAGTCTCCAAACCTAATTTTCACTTGGAATTGCCTTTTAGCCATACTTTGGGATAAACAGACACTTAAAGGATGATAAGCTGCCTCTGTACATCAGCTGTTTTAAGTGGACAGCCCTAAGAGGGTTTCACTGGACCTGAGTGAGAGTACAGTAAGTCATACCTGGTTAATGTGCACTCCATTGATTTGGAGTCCTGGAAATCAGCATAGGGATGAATAAGCTGCAGTTTCCTTTTTATATTCTGAGCACACCCAAAGAAATTAATTGTGAATGATGGGAACCAAAACTTAAACAAAGGATGTTTTCCAGTGGCATGAAGCATTTCAGAAGCCTTCATTTACACAGGCACACTAATGTGCTATTTATTTCATTCCGACCTTTTTAAAACCAGTCCCCAAATGACCTCAGATGTACAGCATTTCATTAGCCTAGTTGCTGTATATATAGGTTGAGTATCCCTAACATGGAAATCCAAAATGCTTCAATATCTAAAACTTTTTGAGCATTGACGATGATGTGCAAAGGAAATGCTCATTGGAGCATTTCAGATTTTAGACTTCTGGATTAGGGATGCTAAACTGGTAAGTATAATGCAAATATTCCAAAATTCAAAAATATCCAAAATTGGAAACACTTCTGGTCCCAAGTATTTTAGATAAGGTATACTCAACCTGTATTTAGAAGTCACAAAACCATACATTTTAAAAGAGTTTGTAATTCACTGTTGTCTTTTTCATGATTTAGGCACTCACCCCTACTATTAATTTACCTTAAGGTGAATTAATGAGACTTTACTGTTTCACAGTGTATGGTTGCCCCACGCTTTTATATCATGGAATATTGGCCAATAAGTCACATCCTAGAAATGTAGGTATGGTGGATTCTAGGCCCTTCTGTGTCCAGAAAGCTGTTGTGAGCCTGCAGAAGAGAAGAAGGTTATGTATCAGGTTCCCGAGGATGGATGAAGATGAGGCTGTTAGTCATTGTGTTTCCTTGCAGAAAACTGCTTACAATTAAAAGGAATTTATATTTGCACAGAAACACTCAGAAAAGTGACTTTGTTAGCTGTTTTTTTTTTTTTAGGCTGATCTTTCAGTTGAAAATATTTAATTACTCGAGTTTATTTTCCCTTTCCTGTTGTGGTTCATGAATTTTGCAGCCACCTCCTTTTCTTGACTAATTACACTGAGCAGTTGTCTGTTGCCACAACTTCTGCCAAACAGCTGTTATTGTTGAGTGGTAAAAGAAAGAACACTAATCACAAAAATTGATTATATCGTAAGATATAAAATAAGTAAAAGAGAGCCCAGTTGGCCTGCTGTTATCATCCCTGGCCGTGGGTCTGATTATTTACACCCATGAAATCAAGTGTTCTGATTCTGAACAGCCATTCATGGATGCCCTGACAGTATGTAATGTAAATGTGTTTTCTCTTTTGCGGGCCACCAGTCCTGTCACACCCTCTGCGCTCGCTGAGCTTCTTGACCTGTTGGACAGCAGAACGATTTCTTCAGCAGCAGCTAAACAGGTATGTCCATACTCCCTACAGTTTCTGACTGTGCCACTGTCCCAAGAAATGTTTTCTGTGACACCCCAATGCCATCATTGAGTGACTTTCATCATGAAAGTAGTAAATGCTTTTAGTGATTTTTTTTTTCACTCTGTCGCCAGGCTGGAGTACAGTGGTGTGATCGCGGCCCACTGCAACCTCTGCCTCCCAGGTTCAAGCGATCAGCCTCTTGAGTAGCTGAGACTACAGGCATGCACCACCATGCCCGGTTAATTTTTGTATTTTTAGTAGAGATGGGGTTTCACCATGTTGGTCAGGATGGTCTCAATCTCCTGATCTCGTGATGCTTGGCCTCCCAAAGTTCCGGGATTACAGGCATGAGCTACCTAGCCCAGCCATAGTGATGTTTTTAATGCTGAAAGGTAGAAACATTTAGCAAGGATATGAAGCCAATACGTACAGTGCAGCCAGTTTGGTTCTCATCATCATTGCTAACCTGAGGGAATAGTTATTACCTGGTCCTGCCCTGAACTTCTCCCCCTAACATGTCTTCCCTGAGCCTTTTACATCTGAGCACTTTGCCTCATGCCCAAGGCAGCCTCAGCTCAGCTCTCAGCCTACCTGGGGCTCTTGTCCTGCCCTCCACAGCCTTCCAGCCAGTCCCAGGGCATCCCTTGTCCCTGATGCACAGTTGCTCTTGGAGAGTCTGTCCTAAGCACAGAGGGTGAAGTCAGACAGTAGATAAAATGTTACAGACATGCCCAGTGTGTGAAAACTCAGAAAAATAGCATCATCCTAAGCAGCTTTTTGTCTGTCTGTACCTTGACCTAACAGTGCTGGGTGGGTGAAGACTCCTGGAATTCAGAAAATTCTTAAAAATACATACTCAGAAAGATAAGGAACACCAAGGGAGCTGCCTCGTCTCAGCTTCAGAGATCGCAGCTGTCAGTGCTTCAGCCAGGAGCTTAATGTTATTTTAATGGTGTCTTTTGCATGTAACGTTTATCTGCACCGACAGTAGTGGCAGGTTACAAAGGGAGGCTGGGGGAAAGTGGCTGCTTTTGGCTAATGATGAGGCACCTTGGCACACACACTGGGCTGGGTGCTGTGGAACCGGAGACAGGACTAATAAAGTCTCTGTTTACCCACCTCGAGTGAGGCTGTCAACTACAGGGACCTTGCCGCGTTTAGGAAAGGCTCTCACTTGTCTGGATGTCAGGGGAATACAAATGTTTATTACAATGCTCAGCAGTTGCAGGAAGATTAGATGGCCTGAGGGCGGAAAAAAACACTATACATATATATACAGAAGAGCACATGAATTATGGCATGTGAAATGAAAAAAGGAAAAAACCTTCCCCTTCCTCCTACCCATCCTGCCCCACAACAAAACAAAACAAAAAGCCTAGTGCGGTGAATAAGATAGTTCCAGTAGGAAGAAATGGAAAATGTTGGAAAATGCTGACAGCTGGGTTTAGATGTAGAGACGCTTTCAGATTTTATCAACTTCCAGCATGTTGAAAGGAGGTGGCTTCTGTGAGGCAGTCAGACGAAAATACAAGCCTGGCTAGAAGGGCGTCTAGTGTGTGCTGTATAAGGGGAGCCCCCTTATGTGTCAGTGCCTTGGGGTTTTTGTTTTTCTACCTTTTGTTTTCTGTTTTTTAGGAAATTACTGATTTTCGAGGGGAAAGTAATATATATTGATTATAAAAAATATAAGTAGTACAGAAAAAGATTCTCAGATTCTACCACCTTGAAATAGCTACCTTTAATAGTAGATCAACATAAGGAAGGAACTAGGGGGAGGAGGGAGGAAGAAAGGATAGCAACAAAGACTTTCAAAATCTGAAGTTATAGGGTACTTTTAAAGTTCATTTCTTATTTTAATTATGTAGTGTCCTAAACATTTTATCTGGATATTTTATGTATTTATTCACTTTGTATTATTTATTTTTATTTTATCTGGATGGTTTATGAAAAGTCATCTGTGTTGCATCACACATCCATCCTTCACTCCTTTTTAGGGCTAAATGGGGCTGCTCCTCTGCCAAGCCCCTCTACCGTTGTATGGACACACCCCATTTTGTCTGTTCATTCGTCAGTTGATGGATATTTGAGTTGTTTTCACATTTTGGCCATTAGGAATAATGCGGCCTTGAACAGTCATGAACAAGTGTTTGAGCATAGGTTGAGTGTATACCTACAGGAATTGAATTTCCGGGTCATAAGGTAATGCTGTGTTTAACATTATGAGGATGTGCCAGACTATTTTCTAAAATGGCTGCACCTTCTTACAGTCTTATCTGCAGTGTGTGAGGGTTCCAGTTTCTCCATGTCCTCACCAGCACTTGTTATTGTTCATCTTTTTGATTCTACAGCCATCCTTGTGGATGTGAAGTTGTATCTCACTGTGGATTCTATTTGCATTTCCATAATCTGTTGAGAATATTTTTGTATCTTATTTTTATAGTGTACTTTTTTAAAAAAGAAAAAATGTGTTGCAGTTTCCAAATTTAACAGAAGAGTCCAAGTATGGCATGGTTTTTAGAAAGTAGTGAGCCAGAACAAAAAGACTCTGATCCTACTGGTTATTGGTATTGCCTCTGGCAGAACCGGAAGAGGCTCCATTAAGTGATTGGATGACCAGGGGATAAGGAAGAAAGGTGACTGAGTGACTGACTCCTAGGGATGACAGACAGAAAGAAGAACCCTGCTCTGAGAGCAGAATTCTGAATTCCCAAGAGCCTCCCACTTTGTGCTCCAATCAGTTATTAACCTGCCTTCATCAACTTCTTTGTGCATTATTTTCATTCCTTTTGCATTTCACTGCACCCTCCTCCCAGGTGTCCTGCCAGTGCTTCCGAGATTTACAAATCTCATCCCTTCAGCACCCCAGGGCCAGGGGAATTAAGAGGTTGCTGCCACGAAGCAGCCCTGTTCTTCAGAATCAGAAATAGAAGCTGGGAAATTATAGATCATTATGAGCAGTTACCTCCTGATAACTGTAGACAAAAGCATCCCGTGTGCCCCTCACAAGACCCAGGCTGTGTATTGAAGTGGCAGGTGGCACCCCGTCTCCTGCCCTCACTAAAGACAGGGTCAGCTTGGACACCTCAGACTTGCAAACTGTCAGAGTCACAGCTAACCTGAAAACAGCCTCCCAGGATTCCCAAGCCTCTTGTGGCTCAGAAACTCTGGATGTTGTCCAGACGCTGGTCAGTCAGTCATTGTTCAAGGGAAATTGTATGGGGTCCTGTAGGTGCATCTCCTTCATGCACGTCTGGAAATAGATGCCGATGATCCACCATCCCCTGAATCGTCCAGTTTACGTTTCTGGCAGGACCCAGCTAGATTGGGTGCCATAGAGATAGAAATGGCGTTTAACACACAAGCATGCCATAATCACAGCGTGCCATCTCTTGTCTACTTTGGGGTCTGCTTTAAAGAGAAGTCACCAAAAACCTTTTCATGAACAAAATGTTATCTATCATGCACTAAAGCTGTATTACAAATGACTAGATGTCTTTTTCTGTCTTTCAGTGCTTCAGTTATCTGCAGTTTACTGGGCCCCGCTTTCTTGGAGGCTTGGGTTGATGTTTATGCCTTTCTAGAAAAGTAACCTTTCACAATACTTGCCTTTGACCAAAAAGGGGACTCCCTTCTCTGTAACTGTCACAGCCCCCTCCCTGCCATGTCCCTTGAACAGGTCTTTCCTCCATATCCTGACCTTGGAAACCCAGGACAGGCAGGGAGACGCTGGGGGCCTGTGTGCTGTCCTTCAGGATACTTCAAAAATAGCTTTAGCTGGAGAAACAGTTGGGTGGCAGATAAGAGGGTGTGTAAATTCAGTCCTCAGGGAACCAAAGGCCAAGTCTGTGCCCCATGCATCAGAGCTGGCTCCAGTGTCTGTGTGTGATGGGGGTTCCCAGCTTGCATTACCCAGTACTTCTGGTCGGCCATTTATTAACACAGAGGACCAGCACTATGCTAGAAATTCCTCATTCCATCTGCTTGTCTTGGGTCGGCAGCAGCAGGGCCTGGGAGCTGCGCTCCTGGCTGGAAACAGTTGCACTTGGATATCGCTTCCCAGGGTGTGATTAAACACAGACAAAAGCTGAGGATTTATGCTGCAGCACAGGGCTCAGCAGCCACAGAGGCCACCCTGAGCATCAAAAGGGCCCGGAGTAGGGGAGTCTGGCCGGTAGACAGGGCCTGCCACCACTACTCCATGGCTCCCACCCTCCTGGGGTCCAGCCAGGAGTGCGCAATCCTTAGTGTGCAATCCTTGTCTTAAATAGGATTGAGCAGAGGATGGGACAACTGGCATCTATTTTATCAGCCCAGTGAGCTGGGAACTGGGGGCCTGGACCATCGTGGCCGCTGCACTCATTTGTGGAGTTAACAAACGTATGTATTCTAACTCTGGGAGGAAAGAACATGTCAGCCACCAGGCTCCCATATGTTCCAGGAGGCTGCTGAATGATCTTTCTCTAGCGTCACTGCATGGTACCCCCACCCCGCCTGGCCCTTCTTCTCAGGGAGCAGCCAGCCTCTGTGTTTGAAGGCATCAGCCTCTGCATTTGAAGGTGTCTGTCCTAGTGGTACGCTGCTTCTCCTGGATGGTGTGACTGGAAGTGATCCCCGAGCACTCTGCCCCTCCTCTGCTTATTTTGGCTCAGGCAAATCCAGCCAGCATTCGAGCTGTGGGTCCCGCCAGGCAGAGGCTGGCTCCCTGGCCAGCCTGCTCAGGGTCTGCTCTGTGTTTCCTGCCGCAGCAGCTACCTCAGGCACGGAGACGTCGCTCCCTGGTCGGTGTCTGCAGAAGCAGACCCAGGAGGGGCCCCGCCTGCTTCCAGGCACAGGCTGCTCATTCACCAGGCTTTCCTGGAGGGAACTGCTGCATAGATTTTTCATGAGCAAGTCCTTACAGGTGGTTTCTGTTTTGAGCCAGGTTTTGAGATCTCTCTTTCTGAATGTTGGACATATTCAGCTAGGAGCTTTTTTGGGAGTCTGTGCAGATGCACAGAATCAACACTGGTCAAAGCCTAGATATATCTACCAGGAGGGGATAATTAAATTATGATAAAGACATCTGATGGATACTAGATCTTTTTTATTAAGAAAGTACTTCTGTAATAAATGAAAAAGCAGGACAAACTGAATATACATTATAATCACAAGTATGTTACAAAACAGGAAAAAGATGGGAAGGAAAAACCAAAATATTAACATTGGTTTTCTTGAGGAAATGGGAATGCCAGTGATCTCTTTTGATCTCTCCTGTATTTCCTTATATTTTCCACAGTGAATATGTATTAACTTTTATCATTAGAAAATGTTCTTTAAAATGTAAGTCCTAGTTCAAAAAATAAAAATGTCAGAGAAAGGGGGCAGATGGATTCCTCAGACTTACAGGGCGGCTCCATGGAGCACCATCTAGGTTCCCAGTGCTTCTGCTAACAGCACTGCACTGATAAGCATGTTGAGGGCAAGAAGTTTCCTCCTGCTTCTGTGTCCTGCTTCTCCCAATGGCTTCCTCATTGTCAGATCATATACATATTCGCTGAATTGAGTTGGATGCATATGTAGGGACAGGCGTTTCCTGAGCAGTCGGGCAGTGGCAGAGAAGTACCCTGTGGGGAGCTTAGCCAGGACCTGCAAAGCACACCTCCTTGGCCACAGTCACAGCACACGTTCAGAGGCGCCAGGCTGAAGGCGCAGTGCCTGTCGTAGTGATGATAAGTATTTGTGATTTGTTTTAATTCAGATTGGGGAAGACTTAGAGCCCTGCTGAGACTCAGAGCATCTTCCTTTTATTTGCTTTGCTGTTCGTGCTAATTATGGAAGAGCTCTGTTTTTCCAGGAGGAATGGCTCCTGGTTGGCCCACTGTTGGCCGCCAAGGTAACAGGGAATGTTCAGTGTTCAGTCATGACTGTGGGCTGGACGGAGGTGGCACCCACAGGAGACCAACAGAGGAAGCCCTCCTCCCTGCCCCCAGTTCTGGCTTTTGCTACAAGACACGAGGAATGAGAAAAACAGCTACCCTAGGAAATGCCTTCCTTGAAAATGGTTTCCTCTTTCTTGGGTTTGATGAGTTTGGGGATTTGTTATCATTTTTTAAGTAGAAAAATACACCAGTCATTAGCATTCATTATCCTAGTCTGATTTGGGTCCAGCTCTACCTGTAGGAGATGAGTGTGGTAGGCCAGGGGTCCCTGTGGATTGTAATTTATGTTTCCAGTTGTTTGCCATTTTGTATCTTCATTATGGGGCCACTTTCCTGCCCCCCCACAAAAGTCATCTTTCCCAGCAGGCTGTTTCTGGACTTTATTTAGTACCATGGTTACCTCCTGCAGGCTGTGTGGCCCCATCCTTCACCAAAATGTCACCTCAATTAATTAATTCAGCAGCCAGGAGACCAATCCATCACTGGCCCTTTGACTCCCGTCAGCAGGCACCCATGAGTGATGGGCATCTCCACACCTCCCGTGTGGAGTCAGCTGGGGAGGACTCACCATCCCTCTGGGCACAGGGGCACCTGGTTGGCCTGAGTCCTCTCACACCCTGTGCTGAGGGAGACAGCCTCAGGAGGAGACCCTGGGTGTGTTCATTCCATCTAGCTGGCTTCGTTCTCCAGCCCTGCACTCAGGGATACCTCAGGAGAGCCAAGGCCCTGGCAGGGCAGGTGTGTGCCCTTTCCCTTCAGGCCAGGCTCAAGCAGCGGGGTCTTAATTGAATCTGCCCCAGTGCCACCACAGCGTAGCAGTGCAAATGGAGCTGCCAGAAGAGCTGACTTCTCGCTTCTCTTTCCCCTCCCTTCTCTGGCCTGTAGGTGTTTGAGGAACTGTGGAAGAGGGAAGGGAAGACTCCAGGGCAGATTGTTTCAGAAAAGCAGCTTGAACTGATGCAGGACCGCGGGGCACTGGAGCAGTTCTGCTACTCGGTGATGAAGGATCATCCTCAAGTGGTGACTGTCTCGGGCAGGGGAGAGGGCCAGGGCTAGGGCTGCCTGCAGAGCAAGCCCCAGGACACGGCCAGAGGCTTGTCCTAAGAGTGGCTGGCCCAGTTTCATCAATCATTCCCTCATTACTTTTGTCATCTTTTTAGCTGAAGTCAGAAGAGATGAAATAGGTGAATATTGGAAAAACGCAACTTCTTTTCCTATAAGGATACCACCCCTAGAGTTTACTCTCCAGGGAAGTGTAGTTTAAAAGGGTGTCTGCAAGCTCACGAAACCCAAGCTGTGACCTCCCAGGCGTGTCACCCTCTCCCAGGGTTGGCATTTCAAATCTGTTGTGGTTAGTCCTACTTCATAAGGACCTCCCAATAAGGAAACAGCGGGTGTGCCTGCAGAGCAGGGAGAGTACAGGAACTTCAGCTTCATGCTTCTAAGAGGTGGGAAGAAAGGCAGAAGGGAAAGTATTTATAAATTGTGGAGAAAATCCCTGACGGGAACATGGCTGAAAACCAGGTCATTTTGTGTTCTTAGCACAGCACAAGACAGAAAAGCTAAAACAAGTGGCATCCCTCCCTCCCTAAGTCTAGTCATATTGACTAGAGAGATTTTTCAGTGGGGGAAAAAAACTGTTAGCACCTTCTTCAGAATAATGCCCACCCACCCACCCATCAGCTTGCCGGGGACACTCACAGCTCTGTAAAGAGCTCTCGATAAGGAAAATGATCTTGCGCCGGGCCTCACAGTCTCGTCTTCCGGCCTCATCTGTGGTGACTGATAAAGACACACTTATAGTTACAGGCTCATTCTGCGGCACTTGAGTGCAAATCATCACGTCATTGCCCTTGGAGCCAGCACAGAGCAGGAGGCCGAGCGGTGGCCCTGTCAGTCAGTGGCTATTTGATTGACAGGAATTCAGCGCCTCCTGACTTACTCATTCCCCCACCCAGTGCTCTGGAAGACTGGGCCAGCGTGTAGATCTGCTTTCTGACAAAGGGATCTCCTTGGTGGGGAGCAGGGGGAGAAGGAAAGCTGCACATTTCAGCTGAATGTTACAGAGAATCAGAGAGGTGTCCTCACTGATTAGACACAATGATTCATCTCAGAGAGATTATCCCTCCCCAGACTTTGTCCTCGGTCATAGTGGTGTGCCAGAGGAGAGGGCTCTGGCTCCCACGTGCCAGCGTCTCTGGCTGTGAGCAGTCACTTCTTGCTCATTTTAATCAGAAGGCAGAGTAGCAAATATCTCCTTTGACAGGAGCCTAGAAACCTACTCAGAAGTTAGGCCCCTCCCCTTTTTCTGTTCCTCATTTTATCTCTGTTACTAGTGGAAAGAAGCAGAATTTAATTTTCAGCAAACTGAAGCCTTAGTTTGGGATTTGGGGGCATAAGTCTCTTCATTTTCTCCTCTTAAGCAATTTCTGTCTTTGCAGGTAATGGATGTGAAGAAGGGAAACCCCAGAGCTATAAATAAACTGATCGGATTGGTCAGGAAAGCGACACTAAACCGAGCAGATCCAGCCGTGATCAAGGAAATCCTGGAGAAGCAGCTGTCATCGTGAGATGTTTGGGGTCCCCATGCCCACGGGAGAAGAGTGTAGCCTGACTGGGAGCAGGAGCCTGTGAAAGCTGATGCCCGTGTGCCCTGAGAGCTGCATCTCTCAATCCCTGGCCTGAGCCACAGTGATGGCATTGTGTGTCACCAGTGTTCTTGCCCTCTGGGCCCTGTGCCAGGAGGTGCCTCCACAGCCGACCAGCAGCCACACCCACCTGCTTCATCCACCTCAGGAGTGGCCCGTAATGGCTGCAGCAGTGGTGAAGGAGTAACACCTTCTCGTGTTAAGGAATCTTAAAGTAAATAAAATGTATATTAGAGATACTATTACCCATTCTAAGATAACTTCATTCTGTAGTTCCTTCAACAAATATTTTTGAGCAGTTCCTAAGGGCCAGCCATTATTGTAGGTGATGGGCATTAGCAGGGGTCGAGAGACTGTAATTTGGAGGTAGTGTTTTCAGGTTAATGAAGATGAAAACACAACGAAATAAACTGGGCCAGTATAAACACACATTTGTTCAGGGTGGTCTCAAGTGGGTGGGGAAAGAGGATATTTTTTTTTTCCAGGAAATAAAAGCATTTATTTATTTTTATTGCATTTTAGGTTTTGGGGTACATGTGAAGAACATGCAAGTTTGTTGCATAGGTACGCACATGGCAGTGTGATTTGCTGCCTTCCTCCCCATCACCTATATATGGCATTTCTCCCCATGCTCTCTCTCCCCAAATCCCCACCCTGCTCTGTCCCTCCCCTATTTCCCCGACAGACCCGGGTGTGTGATGTTCCCCTCCCTGTGTCCATGTGTTCTCATTGTTCAACACCCACCTATGAGTGAGAACATGCGGTGTTTGATTTTCTGTTCTTGTGTCAGTTTGCTGAGAATGTTGGTTTCCAGGTTCATCCATGTCCCTACAAAGGACGCGAACTCATCGTTTTTTATGGCTCCGTAGTGTATATGTGCCACATTTTCCCTGTCCAGTCTATCATCGATGGGCATTTGGGTTGGTTCCAGGTCTATGGTATTGTAAACAGTGCTGCAGTGAACATTCGTGTGCATGTGTCCTTATAGTAGAACGATTTATAATCCTTTGGAGATATATCCATTAATGGGATTGCTGGGTCAAATGGAATTTCTATTTCTAGGTCCTTGAGGAAGGACCCTGTCTTCCACAATGGGAGAACTAGTTTACACTCCCACCAACAGTGTAAAAGTGTTCCCATTTCTCCACATCCTCTCCAACATCTGTTGTCTCCAGATTTTTTAATGATCACCATTCTAACTGGCATGAGATGGTATCTCAGTGTGGTTTTGATTTGCATTTCTCTAATGGCCAGTGATCATGAGCGTTTTTTCATGTTTGTTGGCCTCATGTATGTCTCCTTTTGTAAAGTGTCCGTTCATATCCTTTGCCCACTTTTGAATGGGCTTTTTTTTTTTGGTAAATCTGTTTTAGTTTTTTGTAGATTTTGGATATCAGCCCTTTGTCAGATGAGTAGATGATTGCAAAAATTTTTCCCATTCTGTTGGTTGCCGATTCACTCTAATGACTGTTTCTTTTGCTGTGCAGAAGCTGTGGAGTTTGATTAGTTCCCATTTGTCTATTTTGACTTTTGTTGCCAATGCTTTCGGTGTTTTGGTCATGAAGTCCTTGCCTATACCTATGTCCTGAATGGTTTTGCCTAGATTTTCTTCTAGGGTTTTGATGGTGTTAGGTCTTTTGTTTAAGTCTTTAATCCATCTGGAGTTGATTTTAGTGTAAGGTGTCAGGGAGGGGTCCAGTTTCTGCTCTCTGCACATGGCTAGCCAGTCTTCCCAACACCATTTATTAAACAGGGAATCCTTTCCCCATTGCTTGTTTTTGTGAGGTTTGTCAAAGATCAGATGGTTGTAGATGTGTGGTGTTGCCTCCAAGGCCTCTGTTCTGTTCCATTGGTCTGTATCTCTGTTTTGGGACCAGTACCATGCTGTTCACTGTAGCCTTGTTCGCTGATCACTGTAGCTTTGTAGTATAGTTTGAAGTCGGGTAGTGTGATGCCTCCCGCTTTGTTCTTTTTGCTTAGAATTGACTTGGCTATGCGGGCTCTCTTTTGGTTCCATATGAAGTCTAAGGCGGTTTTTTCCAGTTCTGTGAAGAAGGTCATTGGTAGCTTGGTGGGGATAGCTTTGAATCTGTAAGTTACTTTGGGCAGTATGGCCATTTTCACGCTATTGATTCTTCCTAACCATGAGCATGGGATGTTTCTCCATCTGTTTGTGTCCTCTCTTATTTTGTTGAGCAGTGGTTTGTAGTTCTCCTTGAAGAGGTCCTTTATGTTCTTTGTTAGTTGTATTCCTAGGTATTTTATTCTCTTTGTAGCAATTGTGAATGGCAGTTCGTTCTTGATTTGGCTCTAAGTCTGTTATTGGTATACAGGAATGCTTGTGATTTTTGCACATTGATTTTGTATCCTGAGACTTTGCTGAAGTTGCTTATCAGTTTCAGGAGATTTTGGGCTGAGATGATTGGGTCTTCTAAATATACAATCATGTCATCTGCAAATAGAGACAATTTGACTTCCTCGGAAGGATAATATTATTACAAGTAATAAACCTATTGTAGAAGTGATACTGCCTGTTCAACTCCCTACCCATCCCAGAAGGCACAGGTCTGAGAATAAATGAATTAAAAATACATAGGAAGTGTTCAAATAAATTTAATCAGTAAAATATATGCTGAGATATCACATAAAAATTAACTTACACTTCAAAGATTGTGCAGTTGACAACTCCTCTCAACTCCCCCAACCCTCAGGCCAAACAGGATGAAAAGAAACAAAAGAGAAAAAAGTTGTAACATGAAGCTGTCTTGTTTTGCTTGGAAATAAGATTACAAATTAGTAAATCAAAATCTTGACCTTTCACAATAATCGTGGTGTGCTGCAGGCGTCGCGATGAGGGCGGGGCTGCCTGCACTCTGTGCAGTGACACTAATACTGTTCTCCCTTGCACCGGAGCACCTCTTTGTTCAGTATATGCCTTTGTTAACCTCTGACTCGCCTCGCTTAAAGACCAGCTTTGTAAATGTTTTTTAAAAGCATACTTGTCAAAACTGTGATGTAAGAGTAAAATCCTTGGAGGCCTTGATTTGAAGCTGTGAATCTGTAGCCTACCAAGGACAGTAAACACATTCCTGTTGTGAATGCTGCTCCAGAAGCAGCTGCGGAACTAGGAAAAAGTGGACACCCCCTCCATCACCAGTTCAGTGACTCATGCTTCCTGCCTTTGCACAGTTGCTCAGGACTTCCCTGAGAGTGATGAGAATGGTGCCCCTTTTCCCCAGCCCAAAAAGTAGGCAAAGAAAGGTAACCAGTTGTGTGGTTCATTTTGGACAGGCATGAGGAGGTGACGTTTTTTTAAAACGTCTTTTAATAAAATTAGTGACTTAGAATTTTAAGGGACTATGTTACCTTACTGGGAAGACAGGTGTCCCCATTCTGCTGCAGTACTGAAAACTATTGGGCCTATAGTAACATGATTTTCACTAAACCTCTGTACAGGAGTGTCAGGCTGAATCAGTTCTCACTCTGCAAATCTCTGAATTACAAATGGGCAAAGATGATGGTCTGAGACTGGGGTCTGACAGGATCTTCATTTTGTAAGAAAGAATAAGGTTCAGTTTTGTTTTATAAATTCCATTTTCACCAAAAGTTCTGCCTTCTTGATGACTAAACCTTACAGAAAGCATCGAAGGATCTTTCCAGAGGGGGTGCAGCCAGATAAAGACAGTTTACTAAAACCATTATGTCAAGTGAAAACTATTCAGGACTGATTATTCCCAGAGAAAGATGCCATCGTGAAAGCACTTGATCTGTCCAGGCTGATTGTCAATCAGCTGACAATTGCCTGTTGTTTTCAATGCCAGCTTCTGAAATCCTGAAAACCAAAACCTTGTAAGTTGATATCACTGCTACTAGGAAAAAAACAAAGCATGGCTCCGATTGAAACCCGATGAGATAGTCTAAAGATGATATGTTTATATTAGCATCCTAAGAAATTCACAAAGATGGCTCTGCTTGTAAAGGGGTCTCAGCGAAATACAATTTTACACTCTTGCATGAGTGTGCATTTAGTCTGGTCTACTGGTTTACTCTTCAGGGGGCAATCTCATTAAAATGTATGAGTTGGCACCACAGGTGACACCATTGCCATCTGTCTCAGGAATCCACACACCTGTAGGCTAGGTGTATAATGCTGAGGCTCTGACTGGAAGTTGGAGTGTGCTGGAAAACTGGCTGTACCCCAGGCTGGCCTGAAGCAGCTCTGCCTGGTCAGGCCCAAACCCTGAGTTCTGTTGCCTGGGAAGGAGGTTGGCGGTTTCTGGTGGGAAGGCAAGAATATGCCAGCCCTAGCACTCAGCATGCTATCTAACAAAGGGAATATTCAGTAAAAGCTCTTACTGTATGAAACAAATTAATGGACAACCTTTTGTGGGGCCCTTTTGTAAGAGACACTGGTGATACCAACTCCTAGGTTTCTACATTCTAGGTCATCTGGGTCTAGAAAAGAGCTGTTTAATCTCTGTCCAGGGCTATACATCAACGTGAACTTCTGTTCCTAGCTTTCAAGAACCTAGAACATTACTGTACAAAGGTAAGGATATTTTAGCTGAGCTCCCCCACCCCACCTATATTTTAGTAATTATCGCTAAAATAATTATTAAGATGGCCATGAAGTTTTGGAAAGTACACACCCTCCTTCAGCTTTGAGTTGGTTAGTTCAGGACACAGCTTGTGACCATGACCCACTACAGTATTTTATACTGTATCTTTCATTTCAATTGAATCTAGTTGTATAGTTTCTACATAGTGACTATTGGGGAAAAGTCAGCCGATCTATCTGAAAGGCCGTATTCTTTACCAATTACCAAAAGCAGCATGGAAGTGGCTGCCATGCTTCTCCAGCAGGTTTTAGACAAACACATTCATGGATTGTTTGCAAATAGAGCTGACCCTTGGTTGTGAGATGGGAAGCATCTGATTGAAACCCTTAGTCAAATAGCTTAGCAACACTCATGTAAGACTGTCAACACCAAATTCCCTCTTTTAAAATATCCACAGGGCAAAAAGGGGCCTTGTTATAGGTGGGCCTTTCATAGCCTTGTCCCAATAAAAAATCAGCTGACACACTAAGAAGCACAGACTTCTGCAGCCTCCGCTCCATGAAATTCAGTCTGGCCCAAGAGCTTCCATCACCGTTGTTGGGTTCTGAAATGATACAGTAAATCTAAACTCCCAAAAAGATGCCTGAAACGCATATCGAAGTCATGCTGACAGATCCTACTAGCAGTCTTGTTACCTGTGTAGGTAACAGTGGGTTAACTTAAACCTTTTAAGACAGGAACAAAATTCACAGTGACCCTACAAGCTAGGAAAGGTCAGTCCTAGCTAAAATCATAATCAGTTTTAGGATTCTAGGTGCACGAGGTCAAAGAACTGAAGGCTTCCACCCACCTTGTCCTGGTCCTTTTCCCTAAAGAACCTCTGAAAATCTTTCACTAAAGCCCTGTTTTTCCAGTTAATGAGCTGCCAGGATAATCTGTCCTCCAGAAACACGTAATAGCCTAATAAATGCCTGAATGTAGAGAGGATTTACTGAGGCAAAATTATCCTAAAAACCATTCTTAGTCTTCTGAGAGCTCTTTCTAAAGCATTAGGTTTACGATGGTCATTCAAAAAGAAGGGGGGAAAACAAGTCAACTTCATTCTCTTCCAATGTTTCCTCAGTGAAGTGATTTAAGGCTGGAACATAAACTGGTTTGACAGTGTTCTGTTTTAAGCTGTTACTTGATGGAGAATTAGTATTATGTGATTTATAGACTGACGGCTGAAGCAACAAGGGGCCTAGACTATCTTCTTAATGACTTAAAGCTGATGTGGCATCAGCTACAAGAGACTGCTGTTTCCAGGAAGAGCTCACACTGCAAAGCAGGCTGTGGTTTGTGGCAAACCACACGACACCAGCCTGAGCCAGTGACAAGTAGCACGTGCAATAATAGCTGACCTGCAATAAAGTATTTCATAAAAACGGCAAGCATGACAGCCATTTCAGTAAATACGGGGCTGGTAATTAGCAATTACGTTGAACTGCCCTTAAATGAGAACTGGAGCATATGCAGATACTGAACACCATGCCAGGGACAAGGCCCACCCCTGCTGCGGCTGTACTTCCCTACTGAAGACAGCCCAGACACGCGGAACCAGATCGGAAGAGCAGCCCAAACACAACCCTAAAGCTTACACAGATGTGACAACCAGTCCACATGAACACTACAGCCAAGATGACTCAGAGACACTGAAAACAACCTTCAACCTGAGTACCCACTGGCTGCCCAAATCAAACAGGCAACCCCAGTATTCATGTAGCCTGTTTCTAGACTCTGTTCATTAGAGGATGCCTTCCTGACAGCACCTTGGCTCCATGATGTCTTATACTGGACAGAAACCAACTACATCTGACCTAAATAAAAGTCACCTGCTAAGAAAAGGGTACTTCTTAAAAATACTGAACACATCCTACCTAAAGTGACAGACATCCACTAACCACAGCACATCAAAGGATTTTCCAAAATAACACTCAACAAAATGGGGACAACTTCACAATTCCTCTAAATACCAGGGATCGGACGTATCTAATGGTGAAGAAAAACCACATCTCTAACTGGTTATTCCAGCACTCCCATTTCATGGTTGGGAAACTGTTTTACCAGCCATGAAATTATGTTTTAAGCTGAACCTAACCTGGAATTTCTTTGTGTAAAATTTTAAAAACATTTACGTGGCCATTTCCAAAAAATCAATTTTAAATATTCCAGTGCTCTCATACATTTTGAACCACAGAAGTCACTCAGTCTGGAACTTTAAGTCAGGCCCTGAATTATGAATTGAGGTTAATGTTGTGATAGTCCAGGAACCCTGGGCTCACTCACCTTTCCTGACCAGGCCAGACACAGTGACGCCAGCCCAGGAGCTGCACCAGGGGGTGGTGCCCACCATTTCTCTTCCCCTACATTCTTCCAGCAAGTAGCATAGTGACTGATGTGGAAGCTTGTCACACAGAGAAGTGGCCACACTCTCGGACCATATTTGTAAGCATGTCAAATATATTTAAGTTCCTCCCTGCAACTCATTACAAAAAAGGGTATTTCTAAGGGCTCACCTATTTACTTTAGGACCGGAACATTCTACTTCATTGCCAATGATGTTTTTCTGTTCTTTCTCACACACCCATTCCATGGTTTTTTCACATCTGCCTAGATCAATGTTCACTCCCCCGATCTTTCAGGATTTGCTCTTCTATGGACAGCCTCAGTTCTCTGCTGTTTTTCTTTTGGCATGTCCACGTCATTCCCTAAATAACCCACTCCCGGTTATTTCACTCAACCACATGGGTTTTCCCATTTCTCTCTATGTCCAGGTCAATTTTCTGACTTCATTTTGCAAAACCATGGACACAAACCTGTGAGGACTATGATGGATTCAGAAACGTGAACCAGCTTTCAATTCCAAATAGGAAATTAGAGTAGCATGGGAAGTTAAATTCTCCTGCCTGTCACCACAGACACCAGTCATCTCTGTCCTCATTTAAAGGCTGGGCGCAGTGACTCACACCTGTAATTCCAGCACTTTGGGAGACCGAGGCAGGACAATTGCTTGAGCCCGAGGCAGGACAATTGCTTGAGCCCAGGACTTTAAGACCAGCCTGTGCAATATGATGAAGTCCCATTTCAACAAACTGTACCAAAAAGTTAGCTGGGTGTGCTGGCACGTTCCTACAGTCCCAGCTACTCCAGAGGCTGAGGAGGGAGGATCACTTGAGCCCAGGAGGTTGAGGCTATAATGAGCTGTGATCACACCACTCCACTCTAGCCCAGATAGCACAAGACCCTGTCTGAAAAAGACAATAAAGTAAGTCTGTTTCAGTTACCTATTGAAAAAAACAGTAAGAGGCACAAAATCAATCTCTCCCAAAGGAAACCTTCCACAAAGGGGACCATGGTGTTCTACAGTGCAGAAACACAGATTCAAGAAGAATCAACAACACTACCAGATAATGGAGACAGGTGTAAATCAAACCACAAAGCTAAAGAATTCTACTTCCAGATGTGGCATTAGCATTGTATGACTTTGTAAGTCCAAACAAGAAGATAAATACTTGTGCAAAACAAAATTAGAGGATAATAAATTACAGCTGAACTTCCAACTTCAACTGTTCCTCTTTCTCTCTCTTAAGCTACCTTTTCTAATGGAGACTTGTGGGCTGTGCAAAATACCACCAGGCATCAGGAAGCCAGGCACAGGCCAGTTGGTTGTGCCTCATCTCTCCTGGCTGCTGCATCACAGCTGAGCAAACCATTTGTCAAGACAAACAGAAATGTACAGTGAGTAGGAATCTTCAGTGTCTTGCTTGGACTATGAAACATGAAAGCAAGGCTGGCTCTTAACAGCTCACCTGCCCAGGCCAGGTATCCTGTGGTCATTTCACGGGCCAGCTCTCAATTTCTCATTCACTCAATACAAAGCTACTTCAAGATTCCTGAAGCAAAAAGGGCCTCTGCTGCTCCACAGCATCGCAGGTGTGGTTCCTTCCTGCACTGCCCTGCCTGTGCACGAGGGGCCTAATTAAGAACAAACCAGTGCTCCTGGGGCACAAGCACCAGACCCGTGGCTGCCCTCGGGGCTCCACAGAGATGCACACAAAGAACGGAGAGAGCCGGGCCTCCCAATTTCCCTCCAAACGGGAGGCTCAAGCTCGTTACTTGCTTCTTGCCTGCAGAACTGGGCCCAAAATAGAGGGGAGTGGAATTTGATATCCATAAAAACCAGTTGTTTATGGTCTCATTTTCAGCTCACAATTATTCTGTGTTTTCCCTTCTTGGTGGTGGTTTCACATGGCTGTGTCTCTAAGTATAATCCTGCCTCTTGGAGCAGGCTGCAAAGCAGCAGAGGGGCACTCATACAGTACAGCGGGGCCTTCTAATAAACCCCATTACTTGGAAGGCAGCATTTCCATGCCGAGTGAGTCACCAGCAGGCACTTGGCTTTGCGGGGCTCCAGGTGACCTGTTTGCATTGACATCCAAGATCCCAAAGTGGGCTGTACAGTTCCTGTTTCTCTATAAAGTGCAGCTTATTAGCAAAAGCAAATCGAAATTTAAATAATTACCAGTGTTTTTACAGGCTGCATTTAGTTTATCTCCCCACCCCACCCCACATTCCCTCCCTGAAAAAACCCACTATGAAATGGCTTCACAAGTTAATCAGTTTGTTTTTATAAAACACTTACAAAAATAATGATGGTCGTCTTCTTACATACATATGTGATACCATACTTTCTTCATCTGATCAATCAAACTCCTAAAAACCAAAGTAACAGTTTGCATAGGTATACTTAATTTTGTGCAAATCTTACTAAAATAAGGCATTCTTCAGTGTTTAGGTAGTGTCATGCTGATTAAAGTAAGCTCTGAAGAAACAGGAACAATACTCTGCATTCTAAATTCTCTCCAAGGACTTCTGACTTCCCAGGCAGAGAGCTGGACCAGTGTATCTGCCCTCACCATAATGCAATAAACGCTGGGGGACAAACAATCTGGAAGTAAATCCAAAGGGACAGGTGATATGTGCTTCTGTGATGGAGGCAAGAGGGTCTCCATCTTCATTCTTCCTTTATAGAACAGAGGCCAAAGTGCAGGAGGTAACAGGACCACTTGCACAGTTGCAGAGGAGTACATTCTTCCTGTGCTGCTGAACGGCTAGAATCCTGACATGGGGCACTTCCAGATTTCACTGAACCCCAGTATTTGCTTGGTGTGATCTGAGCTGCAAGATGGGTGACTCAAAGGGATAGGAGAACAACAACCAAGAAATATAAGGAGGAAAAACTGAGCAAAGAAAACTGCCAAGGGAGCAACCAGCTTATGAGACTTACATTCTATATAACATAAGGTGGAAAGGCCCGGCTAGAGAGAGAGGAAAGAGATAGAAAATTCCTCTCCCCACAAATCAAGTATTGTCAGGAAATATCAAAGAAGAAATCTTTGTAAGCAGCTTTGCATTTAACATTCAGTCAAGACACTAAAAACTTTCAAAACAAGAATCTCTATTTAAAAAAAAAAAAAAAAAAAAAGCTAACAACAGGAGTCCTCAAAGTCACCCAGGATCTTGTAGCACAAAATGGAGTGTTCCTGGGCCAAGGCCGCCAGCTCCTTCAGGAACTCTGGGAAGAGGGCAGCAGCCAGCATGGGGTTCCTCACCGGCAGGGGCAGGTTGGGGGGTGCCTCAGCCACCTTCGTTCTCTGGGTCAGGAAGGGCTGAAGCACTCTTGGAGGTCCATCCAAAAGGTTCTTGCCACTTCCTGTCCTGGGAACCTCCTGAATGGGATCTGAAACCAGAAAGAAGACAATCACAGCATTCCTCCATCGCCTTCCCATCCACCCTCTTCAGCGGAGCATGTGTTGTGGGGGCAGAGTTGCTGCAGTGTATCTAGTTATGGGTGCAGTTTCTATAACAGACTAAATCCTGAAGACACAGCCCTAGTGGACTCCATGACACAATATTTGCCCAGCAGATAACCTCCAACAAAAGCATGTGATATGAGACTTTCACCCAAAATTCTTTCTAAGGAACTTCATGCAGAAATCATGGCAAGAATATGGGTTTGTCAAGAACCCTCCATGCCAGAATGTGGGAATGGGAGAAACTGACAAAGGCATCTCCTGTCTGGCTTATTAAGGGGCGATGAGTAGCCCCACCTGCTCTCCCAGCCTCCCATGCTGAGATGACTGTTCTCCCCTTGCCAGTTAAGCCCTGACAGCACAGCATAGCTACAGCAAAGAGGCTGGGCTAAAGCTCTCTGCAGCTGGTGGTCCAGCCTCTCAGGCTCCCCGGTGACCTCCAGTCTTCTTCTGGCCAGCACCTCCAACATTTTACATAAAAGGAGAGCAGAAGATTCCTTCAGATCAGCAAAAATAATGGAAGGGAAGTTGGGTGCTGGTAAGACCAGACGACTTCCTGCAACCATGGGGAATTAGTAACAGCAAATGGCTTAGAAGCTTACATTGAAAGAGGGTTTCCAAGAGTTTCCATCTCAATTTCAATAACATAGGCCTCAGATGAGTTCAAAATGCAAAACAAATCAAATGATTTGCATTTTCATATCAAATCAGTTTTTACTAATTAAAATGGTTCAGCTTCCCTATTTGATTCCTGAACATCACCAGCCCTCATATATTTGTAGGAATAATTTATGCCTTCCTCTGCCCCCTACCCAAACAATCTCATTACTCCTTATAAATCATTATATTCAAGTCCTTCATTATTTTGGCTGCTTCTTAGAATTCAGTACCATATTTCAACACTCTTCTCAGAGTGTTGCTTAACTGTAGTACTAAAAATTCTTGACATTTATAGTACTTTCCACATCTCACTACTATAGTCTTTAGTGTTAAAAAAAAAAAACTTCCACTTTACTGCTTTAAATATCCTTTTACATTTAAACTTGTCACAGCTTTAATGCCATAAAGAACTGGAAAAGTTGCTGAGAATCTGTCTTCTGCTACCTTTCAGCAAAAATTCATGAACAGGCAACAGGGAGCACAAAAGTGTTGATGTCACTGAGGTGCATGTCAACCTTGGAGAGTACCCCTTCTCATCCCCCACCCTAGCTCAGGTCCTGTCACTCTCCAAAGCACCCAGCAAAGCTCACAAAGGAAGCTGGCCTACATTCCAATGGGGAATGGGAGACTTGTGGACACCACTCCCAGACCAAGACCTGCACTGTTCATGCTGGTTCCTCCAACTGGAACTCCCTTCCCTGTTAGCACAGTGGTTAAGACCACAGATGTGGTCTGCCACTCGCTGGCTGAGTGACTTCCGGCAAGTTGCTTTACCTCTCTGTACTTGGATTTCTTCAACTGTCAGAAGCTCATAGAGTTCTTATAAGGACTAAATGAGTCAATAGGTATAAAGTACACAGGGACTTCTGGATGGGTGTCAGCTGCTGCACCATCCTCAACAGTACAGCTGTCACCGACTTCACAATGAATTTCTAGTTTCCTGCCCCCAGAAGTCACTCCTATAGTCTTTATGGCTTCCTCTGCCCTCTACCCAGTCTCATCTCATTCTAGCCTCCTCTCCATGTTATTGACCAACTAAGGCTGCATTGCCCTTCAGCCTTGCACTGTTTATGTTTTATCTCCTCTACTAGACTCTGAGCTTTCTCAGGGCTGAGCCCTATCTGATAACATGTCTTTAGCAACCCCTAACACACTTCCATATTCATAGAAGCTAATAAACATTTGCTGAATGAATGAGTGAAGGAACTGATCTCATAAGTCTTCCCTATTCCTGATGCTCCCTGCAGCTGCTCATACTCCTCATCTCCCCCATTCTCCTTCAAATTCATTCATTCTCTTCTCCCCTAAAAAGGGATTTTGTGGCTCATTTTTCTAGCTTGAGCTGTGAATAAAGTGTCATCGCTAAGGCTCATTTACTCAATATGAATCCAAGAATCAGAATTGTCTTCACTAATGAAGTCAGGAGAGCACCCAGTGAGGGAGCCCAAGGTCTGGCCGGGAGAAGATCCTTAGCGTGGTTCCATCAGGGCTGCAGCACATAGACCGAGGCTCCCCTCCGGGGTCTGGGCCTTTTGGTGTGTCATCAAGCACCATCAAATTCTGCATTCAAAAGCAACTCAACCTGAGTTATAGTCCCTACCTGGCCTCCAACTCATCATAGAATGTCTCAGTTTCCATCTCTCTAAACTGGGGATATTAACTACCTGATTTCCCTTCTAGAATTAATGCGTAGTAAAAGGGCTCTGAATATAAGTAAATACAAGGAACTGTTACTCTGTGGTATGGAAAGTATTTGAGTAGAAAAAGAAAGGACTGGCAAGTGGCTAAACCTCAGAGACCAACAGCTTCAAGAATAATAATGTGGAGCTGGCAACAGGATGTCCGCTTGCTCTGGAGCAGTGGCCACACAGACTTTTACTGCTGTTGGAAGCATTAGTGAGGAGGCTCGTTTTTCACTGGGGCTGCCAGGAGGCAAAGGAAATGCAGGGCCTGCATGATGGAGCAGCTCTGGCTGCAGGCGCCTGAGTTACGCCCCTCATAAAAGGGTCCAACAAGCATGCACGAGCACCTGAAGAAAAAGGCAGGGCGGAGGGAAGTATAAATCAGTGTCAGAATTTGGAATGGTTTCTGAAATGTTGCCCTGGGTCTGAAAAGCTGGAACAGAAGGTTTTCGAGACTAATACTGGGAAGATTTCCAAAGCGGGGAAAGAGATATGTCATGTGTTCATCTCCCTGGCAGCAGCATTAGGCAAAGGGCAGAACATATAGACACTCGGAAACCCAAATATCTGGCCCATTGCCATAATTCTTCATTGTAAATTGCTCTGTATCCCAGTGAGAACAGGCCTCCAAGACTTGACTCATTTACAGGAAATCACATCACAGTAAATGCTTCAGAAGTCAGTTCTGTACAAGGGAACAAGAAACTTTTATTCTGTCAGTTAAAGATGCTTTAAGTGGGGGAAGTGGGTAACTTGGCTAACCTGGAAAAGTTAGAAAGTTAATCTGAAAAACTCAAATAAAAGAAAAGTATTATAACCAGAGAGAAGATTCTTATAGGTCAAAGCCCTGGAGTGTCACAGACCTTACTAAAAGAGCATGGAACCCAGGTAACTAATCTGACAACCTTAGGCAGTGAGAACAAGTTCCCCCGGGCATATATTTTGCAATCATGGCCACCAGACATTCTGAAACCAGGACAAACCCAAGGTGTGAATGACTCCTGCTCCCCCTGAATGTGCTGGTTAAGGCTCAGTGTACCCTCTCATCTAGGTTGGTCAGTGTGTGCACACATATCCTGGAATTAGCTAGGATGGGCTCAGGCACTTGACTTTCATGATCCTGGCTGAATACCCTGGGCCTCTAATTTTGGCTTTGTTAATGAAAATTAAGTAGGTAATGGTACCTTTTTTGCCCTTTTCAGAGTGCTTTTTGATAATGACAGTTGATCACCTGAGAAAACACCTTATAAATTGTAAAATTCAGTGAAGACTAGGCGTGTCTAGAAGATTGCAGAATGCCCACAACTTGTTGCAGCTCTTCCCATCAAGAGGTAGGGGGTTTTGCTCCATTCTTGAATCTGCGCTCACCCTGTGACTTACTTTGGCCAACAGAATGCTGCAGAACTGACCTTACGTGAGCTCTGAGTCTGAGCCTCAAAAGATTTTCTATGCTTCTGATCTCACTCTTGGAACCCTATTAACTGTGACATGGACGAGCCTGGGCTAATCTGCTGGATGGTGAGAAACACTCCCATCACCCCCATCACTCCAGCCAACAGCCACAGATGTGAGTGAGGCCACCCTAGACATCCAGCCACCCACTGATGGCAGACACACAAGGAGAGTCCAGGCAAAATCAGCCTAGCCCAGATCAGCAAAACACCCAGATGACCACACAGATTCATAAGCGATCATAAGTGGCCTTGGGTTAAGCCAGTGAGTTTTTGCAGTGGTTTACTATTGCTAACTGGTGCATCTTCTCTCACAGGGTGGGTGGCAGCAGCATGCGCCCTATTCAGGAGGAACACAGCTCACACCCTGACCACCCATGTGTCTACGGAGGTCACATGGCACCTGAGGTCCCCCTTCCCACAGAGATGCTGGGCCTCTTTCCCTCCACGAATGCCTTTGCCTGCTCTTCTCAAAGTCCAATAGCTTGAAGCCTGACTCCCCAATTTACCAGTGGCACATGGCCTACCTTTCTTTCAAACCCTACCTTGCAGTACCCTAAGGGCTCATCACAACCCAAGTTCTAGCTTCAACTAGAAAGCACCTAAGAGATGGAGTCCAAATCCTTCATTTAAAAGTCAAGGGACATGGGGCCTGTGAGGTAAAGTGACCAGGATCAAATAGCAGCACAGGGGCAGCATCAGGCCTTCAGGGTTCTGGGTTCTTTTCAGCTTCTTTGAAAGGTAGAACAATTGCCCTGAGTTTCATTTCTGCCTCTCACTGCCAATCTTGTTTCTGATCACTTGCCTTTAGCCCAGGACTGAGAGCCTTACTCTCTCTATTGTTCGTCTGCCACAAAGAAGCCTGACTGGTCTGTGTGTGGAAAAGTCAAAGCCAGTGCAATATGGGGCATTCCTAGTCTGCTCCTACCAAGGCCTAAATGGTCAGCAAATCAGTCCGACTAGAGCTTAAATAAGGTAAAGCAGCAGCGGCACTCCGGGCCTGGCCAGCCATTCTCAGTGCTCCTGCTAGCACCGACCCATCCCCTCACTCTCACTCCTCACTCTGCCCAGGCCCTGGCCTAACACCACCTCTAGAGCTCACAAAAAAGGCACTCTCAGGGATTTTAGGCCGAGCATAAACTTTACTTCACCCAGTCCAAACAGTTTTTCTGTTTTGTTTTTTGTTTTACCTCCTAGGGCCCTGAAGCACACTTATTTTTGGCCCAAGAGCCTCTGAAAACATAATAAAGAGAACACATGCCCTTCTCAGGAAAGGGCTACCCAAAAAATGGCTCAGGGAGTGCACATAATGCCTCCTTCTGGCACATGTGTGCTGTGTTATTTATTCTAGCCTGACAACACTCTACACATCAGCTCCTTCCAGGCACCACTCTCGGTTAAGAAAACAAAAGCCCCTTGATACCCTCCACAGAGGAAACGGGCCAAATGTGAACAGAGCAGGGTTTTCTTTAGGTTTAAGAATGCTAGGCCTGTAATCCCAGCACTTTGGGAGGCCAAGGTGGGTGGATCACAAGGTCAGGAGATCAAGACCATCCTAGCTAACAAGGTGAAACCCCGTCTCTACTAAAAATATAAAAAGTTAGCCAGGCATGGTGGTGGGTGCCTGTAGTCCCAGCTACTCAGAAGGCTGAGGCAGGAGAATCACTTGAACCAGGGAAGCAGAGGTTGCAGTAAGCCGAGATCATGCCACCATGCTCCAGCCTGGGTAACAGAGTGAGACTCAGTCAAAGAAAAAACAGAACACTAAGAGGTGGCTCCTTCCTGTTGCATAAAAACAAAAATATCTCTGAATGCTTCTAGGGTTCATAAGCCAGTTCTGCATCTGTGAAGTGAGGCCAGTAGGCTAAGAACATGGAGGAGGAATTTAAGGAGGGGAACTGTGGAGAAACCTGGCTTACCTTTGGTTAGTGCTGCAGGGGTCATATCAGACATGTCCACACGGAAGAGCAGATATTGCTGGGCTTGTATGAGGAGTCCTGGGAAGTCTCTCTCCACAGAAGCAAACTGTTCAATCTTGTTTTTCACAGATGCAAGGACCTGTCAAAAACAGCATTACCGATGTTAATGCCTTACAGTGAAATTCCACTCTCAGTTATCAATATATCTTGCAGGTACAACCCTCTTTATGGGAACTATTATGATGTTAGACATTTGCTCATTTTTAACTGCCTGGGTGTTCCGCATAGGGCACCCTCAAAACATCAAACTAAATGAAGCTCTGCAGTTTGTCTAGAATAAACTACACAGTGAGCTTAATAGGACAGGGAAGGAAAGCAAATGAATTAGAGCAGAGGAATTTTTGAAAAACAAAATAACAGAGAGAAAGAGAAGCCCTGCAAATCAGCAACCACAAAATCAATAGGTATGGATGTGGGCTTGGCTAACATACCTGATAGAGAGAGCGGACGCTTGGCTGGAAGACCATGTTGGTGTTGAGCAGAAAGGAGCGCAGGAGTGGCTGAGGGTAGCTAGCTAGCTGAGTAATGATCCCAATAAGCAGCAAATTCACATGTAAAGAGTTCTCCAGCATGTTCTCCAGCTTTGACAGGACCACGCTGATGAATGGACCTGCCGGAAGAACACAAGGCTTCAGGGCTGGTTGGGCTCCCAGGGATGCCTTTCCCCACCAACTGCAGAACCATTGGTGCCACAGCTCCCAAACCGCCATAGGCCCACAGGTGCAAGTCAGACATGGCAAATATGACCAAGTTTTCTCCTGTCTCAATACCAAAACTGAAAACAAACCACCACAGCAAAAAGAAAACAGGAAAATATGCATGGCTACTGACATTTTGACTCTGCGAGCAGTTTTGATACTTATTAAAAGTATCACAGACCTGGTAAAAAAAAATAATAATTTAATTTTTTAAAATTAAAATATACTTTTCTACATTGTTCCTGTATTTCTTGGCCTGCCAATGCTTAAAACATGACAGTCATCATCTCATGATGCCACGGACACAGGGTTTCATGTAAGCACTAGAGGCCATTAAAAGTCTTGTAATGAAAAGTCTCTGGTAAAGAACACCAAAAATGCACAAACTATGTTTATCAAATAGTGATACTATGAACAGGTGTTGCCTATCTTGAACAAGCACACTGAGAAAAAACTGATTCTGTCAAGTGTCGTAATGTGGAACAATAAAAAAAAAAAATAGACAGGTGAGAGGTGGAGGAGCCCCTGGGTATAAGCTTAGTAGCCATGGCAATTCGGTAACTACACTTGAATTTTCAGAGGAGAGAGAAAAGGGTGTCAATTTGGGGAGATACAGTTTGGCATGTCATAGATTTCTTAAAAAAGAAAATCCATATGACTACAAAAGCAGTCCTTTTTTAAAAGTGGTTAAAAATTAGTCATAGAAAAGCAGTCCATTAAAAAAAAATAGGCAAAAAGATGTTTCTGATACTTTGGGTCACTAGAAAATTAATACGCTTTGCGTTTGAGTTCACTGAAGGCAGGGAAAACAAAAAATAAATCTGGCATTAATAAACTTACTTGAAGATACTTTAAATTTTTACCATAAAAGTGTTCTGTTCAACACAATCCATGAGAATTTTGCATTTCCCTGGTGGAGCTATTGATGACGCTACTAAACCATGGCACATTTTATAATGAAAGCACATATCCCTTGATAAATAAGCCACGCCTTATAAAGATATCGCCAACATTAATATGAGTTTAACAAAAACATACTTCATCACAAGATGCTTCATTCAGAAGCCCTGGTAACATGAAAGAGTAAAACCCTTTGCAAGGAAACAGAAGCTATGTCTGAGGAATGAGAACACCAAATTGAAACCTTTACCACACAGGGGAGAAAAAGGAACTGCAATATTCCCGTCTCCAGGAACACTGAGGATGTATCTAAGGGATCTCAACACAAGAGGCACCAGCCTCTCATGTGTGGCATTTAGCCTCAACTTCCATTCCTTTGGATGGGAGGCAGAGGTCTTTAGTCACTTTCCATGACATAGGAGGTCAATGAACTCTTCAGATAGAGAGTCTTTGAAGACACTTACAAACAAAACTGGGAGACTTTGCCAAACACATTTGGAAACTCTGGATAGGGACCCCAGTTTGAAAGCAACTAATGGTTTTCCCATAAAAAAAAACCCAGAAATGTCACTGGCAAATCTTCTTAAGGCATCACAACACAGATCTAGAGGGAGAAGACTGCTGTCCTCAACTTCCTCTCACCTGCTCCCCTGCAGCCCCTGGCTCAGCATCTGTTTCCTTCCAGATGGAGCAAAAAGCAGGTGAATTAAGACACACTTAGGTAGGCAGAGTCTTCTGTAAAATATGTGACCCTAAAATGATCCCTCAACTTCTCTTTCCCAGCCCAGACTGTGCCTGGCCACATCCAGCCATCCTATAAACTCTAAATACTGCTGACCATGCAGTGACCATCCACAGGACATCACTACTATAAGGGGTGAGGTGAGGGGCACACAAGCGTGAATCCCATGCCCTGTGGAGAGGAAGATCATGTCATCATTGACTGATGTGAATGACGGAATATTATTAGGTCAAGTCCAGTAGACTGTAATTATACAAATGGAGTCCACTTTGACATCATAATTAGTGTCCACTAATGAAATGACTCCTAACTCCTTGGGCATATGCAATAAAAAAATGTATTAAAACTTTCAAATTCCTACTTTAGTCTTAGTTTCTAGCACTAAATAAAACGCTGCTTAACAAAAAGTGTGTAAGCGGATCTAGTAAGCAGCTGAAAATCAAAAGACTTAGCACAACTCAGGAAGCCACAGGTGTGTCTGGGGGATGGTGGTTTCATTTTCTTCCCATATCTCCCAGGAGGACAAACTCCCTGCCTCACAAACTATTACATTTTTCAAGGTCACTGGGCCTATCTCACTGCCCCTCCCTGTCACCCGCTCACTGCTCTCCCCTGTCCCCCTGCCTCGATTGAGGCTGCACCCTCTTCCTGCACTTCCCCTGTCCAAGAATGGAGCTGCCGTCGATTCTGTGCCTCTGCTCTGTGAATTCCACTGTGGACGCATCTCCTGATGTGGACCTGAAACCCACCTCCCCTGCCTCCACTGCCTGAGGTCAGTCTCATCATTTCTGGTCTGGACTCCAGCAACAGTATTTCTATGTTAACAGAGAACGAATTATTACTGAAAACATTTATTAAGCACATCCTATCTGCCAGGCAGTGTGCTAAGCACTTTTCATGTATCAACTCACTCAATATTCAAAACAACCCTAGGAAGTATATTTATTATTTATCCCCATTTAAAGAGGAGGCAGAATGCTAAGTGAACCCAGCTTGTGAGTAAGAGTCAATTTTAATTCACACCACCTGTTCCAGTGCTCTTAACCAACACATTATATTGCCTGCCAAGGAGAGGGGACGGGGGAGTGTGTGTGTGTCCTAGTATTTTTAACAATACACCCTGAAGACCACACCTCATATCAACACTGAGCTGTCTCATCTCAGGACCACAAAATGTTAGCTTGCTAGGGTGTTGCACAAGCAAGCCAGTCTCCTACTAGTTGGCATTTGGGTTGCTTCTGGCCTTTTTCTAAACAATGCTGCAGTGAACACCCTTGTACATACATCTTGGCACGTAAGTGCGAATACAGCTCTGAGGACGTTTCTGGAAACAGAATTACTAGATAAGAGCATTGGCACGTTCTGAATACTGATACAGCAATAAGGGTATCTCACTTGTTTTTCCTGGCACCAACCTCTCCCCACTCCAGTGCTCTCCCCACACTCCTACCAAAGCTGGCCTTTTTCAGATTCAGTCACATCATCCCTCAACTTTAAACTCCTAGGGCTTCTTCAGAGCCAGGGCACAAGGTTTCCATTCCTCAGCTTGGCCCAAAGGCTCCCTAGAAGCTGGCACCAACCAAGCTTTCTGCCTTCCTCCTTCACCTCCCATACCATGTAATCCAAGCGGTCACACCCCACAGGCTGGAGGGCTCTTCAGTCTCACTCCTGCTGTCTCCTTTGCCTGGACTATCATTCTCACCTGCTTTCACTTGGGGACTTCCCTGCACTGTCCATGCCCCTCCTCTGTTAGGCCACTCCCACTCCCCTCACTAGGTTCCCCTTGGACTTGGCATATGACAACTAGTAACACATTTCTCACTAAGAGAGCACACGTCTTTGTTGGGGTCCCTTCCGAAGGTCTATGAATTCCTTTAATTTTGTGTCCTTATTTCCCAGCATAGAACCTGCCAAACATCAGGGGATCAATAAAAGATTGCTGAATACATGAATAAATAAAATTAGACAAATAGAATGCTTTGATTTTGCTGTGAAATGAACTCATTTCAGTGGAAATCAGATGCCCTGGAGAGAAGAAGTTAAGCCTGATGCTACAGAACACACTCAGAAGTTTGGAAACTACAAAGCACACAAAGGTGGGAAGAGAGAAGATGTTTCCTAAAGCTGTGTACAAAGTTCAAAGGAGGAAACAGGCAAGGTTTTAGCTACAATTACCTGTATGTATCAAAAAGCTCACATTATCTTTTGTCAGTTCTCAGGTGTATTATATGTAAAATATTGATGTTATTTAATAAGATGTTGGATTAGCTTTTTATTCTTGCCCTGAGCTCTACTCTCTTTCCTCTATTTACACATTTCCAGGAATGAAGCTCCTCTGTAAGAAAGCTGGCATTCTAAAGAATAATCTTCATACCCATGGGTAGCCCAGATGTCCCACGAGAAGGCAAGCTATGACAGGGTAGGTTACTACTGCTCTTTCCGAGTGAACTCTCCCAGCTCCCTCCTCCCTGTCCCCCTTATCAACTGGGAAAAGTGAGATTATCTAATCCATTTTACTTATGATTGACTGACTGATTGTATTTTAATTAAAACTCATTCACACTGAAACGTTATCTCAACTAGAACCGCAAGCCTCTAATTGTGGAATTAAAAGCTTTTTCCTGTATGTATAAATCTTCAGGCATCAGTAAATAGATGAATAAATATCAGAGGAGGAGGCTGGAAGAGCTCCTTGAAATCACATAGCCTACTTGGCTAGCTGGACCGGAAGGCAATCTGTTTTCATCTATCTGGGGTTACTGCAAGAGGTAGGAGCACAGTCCCTCCTCACCAGGCTTCTCCTGGGAGTTACTTGTCATAAAATGAATAATGACCTCCCAGTATCTCATTCAGTCCTCACAAGGGGAAATGGAGGGCCCGGGATGCTAAAGCGACATGCTGCTAAATGGTAGAGTGAGTCACCTCAGCCTGGCTCCGAGGCAACCGTCACCCTCCATTGCTACCGTCGTCCAGCCCCTCTCCTTGCTACCTGAACACCATCCAGTGGTCCCACCCTGGCCTTCCCTGAGCTTCCTGAGCCCTCTCATCTATGGCACTCCCCTCTGCACCAGGATTTGTAGATGTAGATTTTGTTGGCTAATATTTAATGATATTTACTGTCAAACTTCCTCACCCCAATCTGCCTATCTGTATATCCAGTCCTATCCCTTCATCTCTTGCATGATTTCTACCTGTTCCTGGGGGTGTATCATCAAACACACCCACTTTTTCAAAGAGCTATTAGTTTATGTGGTCCACTCTACTTATTTTTGGATAAAGATTTTGTGATTCTCTGAAATGAGCTCTCAGGCAAAGGCACGGCTAACCCCAATGCCTCTGATGTGTGTGCACAGTTACTGTCACCCAGCAAGGACTCTGAGCTCCTATTCTGTGCTCTGTTCACTGTTCCAGTGCTAAGGATAGAGCTCCACCCTCACAGAGCATACATTCTAGTGGGGGAGACAGTCATTTGTTAAAAGTAAATGTAAATAAGTGCGAAGGAGAAAAATAGGTGACACTAGAATAAATGAAGTCATTATATAAGAAGTTTGGATTCCTGTGTGGTTTAATCAGTCCTACTACTTTAATATTGACACAGCAAAAGAAGTTACTAAATAATAAAATCTAACCTCTAACTTGAGGAATAAAATAATAATTGCAAGAATAACAAAATAAAAAGAAAATCACCCCCTTTGCTCTTTACAAAAATATGTTCAGCCCTCTGTTAGATAAACCGGTAATATTCCTTACCTTTGCCTACCTCACTTTCCTGTTCCAATATGTACAAGTACTTTCAAAAGCAGAAACCACAAAGCAACTTAAGATCGTCACCTGTGAATGGGGTGCTTTGAGTCCTCACGGGATGGCCACTGGCAAAGGCAATCTCATCTCTCCCCCCAAATGGGGAAGGCACAGTCTCTACAGCAGGCATTTCCGCAATAAAAGAGTCAAAGTCATCCTCCTCCTCTTCTAGCTCCTTCTTCCCCTCCTCCTCCTCTTCTCCTTTGCTGTCTTCTTCCTTCCCTTCTTCCTCCTTTGTGAGAAGCAAGGGATCAGGTGTGGGGAAATTCTGTTCCATCAAGCTCTCAGCACCTGAATCCAGCTCTTTAATGATTTGGTCATACTGGGCAATAAGATCCTCACTCTCCGGATTAGTGGCCATCAGGTTAGAGCTGTACTCTGCCTCAGGGGCAGGGGATGCTAACTCTGAGTTGGATTCTGGGGCTGCTTCAGGCTCCCTCTCTTGCTTTGGCTCCCTGGGCTCACTATGAAATGGGTCTGAATTGTCCCTATTGCACTCCTCCTCTGAATCTGTGTCTGGCTGGGGGCTAAGAAGGGGGCCATTATTGATGAGGACACTTTGAACTTCAGCCTGGGCTTCAGCTGGTGGCCTAGCAGCTTTCTCCTGAGAATCCCTCGCATCCTCAGAGTCCTTCTCAGCACACAGCCTGTACACTATCACATCATCTTGAAAGTCTGACTCTTCAATGTAGGACCCTTTAAAGAGCAGGATGGCATTCTTCCTCATCTCCTGGATGTGTTTGGGGGGATCAATGGGTGCCGGGGGTCCTGAAGCTTCCAGATCGTCATAAGGCCCCGGGGAGCCCACGTCAGCCCCTGAGGAGATTCCAGGGTCGTAGCTGTCATCCCATTCTAGCTCTGTCTGGCCCTTGTCCTTTCTGGGAGGCAGCTGAGGTCCTGTCTTCCTGGGGAGTTGCTGCGGGAGCCCAAACACAGTGCAGGCCGAGCTCACACTGCCCTCCTCTGTTAGACTCTGAAGAAATGTCTCAGGGCTGGGGGAGTCACCGTCATACAGGGCGGACCAGACACGGCAGTCCCTCATACAGCGGAGGATGTTGGTGTGGGCCTCCCACAGATACTGCAGATAGCTGATGTCCAGGGCTTTCCCATACTCCACAATGCAGGCCGACTGGGAGAATGCTTCGGGGAACGGCCGCTCCACAGGCCCTGCACAGGAGGCAGAGGACGGTCAGAACAAGGGAGGTGTAGGGCAAAGGTAGTGGATGTGGGGGGGGTGACCCATTCAGGCTAAGACTGTGTCTTGTTAGCTACTTTGGGTCTAATTATGTTTGAATAAATGACCTCTGAATAATAAAAAATGGTTAGAGCATAAGAAGCAAAGACTAATAATAGAAACTCTACCCTCACAGAAGATGGAAAACCAATACAACCAGTCAGATAGTGGCTATAGCCAATGGAAAACTATGATCTGGTATGAGTCATTAGAGAAAGAAGAGCTAATGATAGCAATCCCTCAGGTTGTTGAGAGGACTAAATTAGGTAATACACCTGATATACTACCTGCCACAGAGTAATGACCTTAGAGTTTTTTACTTTGAATCTAAAGTGGAAGGCTGGTAATCCATTAATGTGAGAACCAGAATGTTTTGCAGAAAAATCCTGGTTTTTAGAAAAGCCTATTAATTTATTCTGCCTTCCTGGGGACTGCTGGGGATGTTGATATTATTAAATGGTCTCTTAGAGTAAAATCACATTCACTACAAAAGTCATTTTAACCTAAGAATGCTGCTTATGTTATCATGACGGTCTTTGATGTTAAAACTTCCAACTTCACTACTGAAATAGCTTTAAAAACATCTGCCTGTTTTCCTTCAAAAGAAAAAGACTCAGGGAAAAATATATTTTCTATCATTTCTTAAACATCTAGTATGCTGCAGGTGCTTTATCAATGCTAAGTTAATTCTCCCAATAATCCCATATGGTAGATAATATTTTCTCCATTTTCAGATAAAGAAATTGAGGCTCAGAGATGAAAAAACACCCAACCCAAATTGTGGAAGAGCCACAATTCAAGCACAGGCGATTTCACACCAACCTCCATTCTTAACTTCAATTGCAAACCTCGTGTCTCTTCATGCTCTAAATCTCTACCAGACTGGGTCAGAATTGAGCCTTTAAGGATACCCATTTCCAGGGCTTTAGGGTGGACATAATTCATATTTTACAGCTCTACTGCTAAAAATGTTAGTGTTTATCTCTCATCTACGTTATGTAAAAAGACGTCAAATACTACTGCTAGCAATATTTATTGAGCACTTACGACATACCAGGCAGTCTTCTAAGAGCTTTACATGTCTTCACTTGCTTTCCTGAGAATAACCCTTTGAGGTAGGTACTATTTTACAGATAAGAAAAACAGTTTAGAAAACTTAAGTAATTTGCCCAAGAGAGTAGCAGAACCAAGATGCAGAACCTGAGTCTTTGCTCTGCTACTTTCTTGGGCAAGTAATATACCTCTATACAATAATTACTCTGGCTGGCTAGCTGGCTATGCATCACCCATCCATTAGGGCATTTGTCTGCTGTAAGGCAACCCCAGAGGTAGGAGAGTGGAAAGAACATGGAATCTGGCATCAGAGAACCTACGTAGCTGTATAACCATGAACAAATCAATTCCTCTCTCTGAGTCTGTTTGTTCATCTGTAAAATGGGAATACTACCTTCTTCAAAGCATTAAAAGTGATCACACGGGAAAAGAAGTTGGCAAATTATGGACTCTAATTTTAACTCTAATTTTGAATTCTGAGGCAAGGTTAACTACAGAATCATTCTTGAAAAAACTTTCATAGTAAATTTTAAAAGACATCAATTTTTAAATATGTTTTAAATAATAACTTTTAGGTACAAAGATATAAGTTATCCATACTAACAGGAAAATACAATTAAGATAGTTACATAAACTGCTAATTTTCATGTATCTTTATATAAAGACCAAGACAGTAGGACAACCTTAGTTTCTAGAAATTACATTAATATCAAATGTACTGACATTTTCTTAGTCAAGTAACCCAGCTTTTAAATATACTTTATCTAAGAGGATTGTAGCTGGGTGGACAGAATGACATTGTTGGGGTGGATATCAGAATATAGACCAGAAACACTTGACTCAACATCAGGACTGGGCATTTCCTGGTGGTCACAGGATATGCAGAATGTTCCTGAATTGAAACAGCCATATGACCATCAAAGATACACATATGCCCCCTTGTTGCAGCTGCCTGCCAGAGGGCCAAGGTTGATAGAGATGGCCATTTCAATCAAATGCATCCGATTCTGCTGTCATCACAAATTTCAAGTTTTATAGGGATATATAATATGTAAATCCTTATGGCAGATTCCTATAAGCAGCTCATTTTAGAAATTAAAATAAGGGCTGATTCTGCCTTAGCAATAGCCATTTCCACACCTCTCACCTCCATGTCATTTTCAAAGACATGCTAGCACATGTTTTCACATTCGACTCTGAGGGTCCCACTAGAAAGTCCACGTAAAATAAAGATCTGGGAACACTAGGTAATGTCTGGGCACTTCAATTAATACTGATTTCAAAGTGTCCATAACTCCCTACAAAGCAGAAAAGGATCTCAACTAGTCATTCATAAGAGAAATGGGAGCCACTACATAATTCCCTGTCCACCCAAAGGGACACATATTCCAAGGTGAGACGGAATTGGCATCCTTTTTGTTTAAAGATCATCACTAGCGTGTTCCTACCTGAACTGTCATGCATACACTTTGACCAGAGAATATAATCCCTCTCTTGGTTCCCAAGCGTCAGAGTGATCCCACTGGAGCAGCAGACAGGAGTCAAGGCGAGCAGCTTGGCCGCAGAAACAGAGTAACAGTCTCTCTCCTTCACAGCCCACCTCTGACTGAGCATCATGTGATTGCAGGGGATCAGATACCTAGAAAGACAAAAAGAACCAGCATTTTGTCTCTGCAATGTCTTGAACCATTACTGGAACTAACTAAACAATAATAGGGACTCCCTGTGGCCAGGGGCGGACCATCTTCTCCCAAATCTCAACTGATCATCTCACCAGCCACTAAAGTTCACTCCTTTGCTTAATTTTTTCTGAAAGAACAATCTCTTTGCAAAGAACTTAATGGTCTTTACAATTTAGCCTCCAGGAACTTCTTCATCTCTTAAAGGATCCCTCTTCACCTCCATGCCTGTGCGCCCACTGTCACCTTTACCTGGCCTGTGCTGTCCCCTTTTCTTTACCTGACAAATGCCTTTCATTCTACAAAGTCCAGCTTCAGTGTCACCTTCTTTGGGAAGGTTTCCTGCTCTTACTCCAAGACAAAGCTAATCCCTCCCTTCACTATGCTTATGGGCCTCTATTAAGCACTATTACCTTGTATCACAATTACTTCAGTGTCTACCTCCGCAATATAATGTGCTACCACAGCAAGAAGCTGCTTCAATCATTTCTCTTATAATCCCAGAAATTCTGACTTCTAGCAGGCACTGAATGGCAGGAGCAAATCATCACTCCATAGTATAAACCTCTTATATTCTCACGGGTGACCAGGAGGAAATATAATGGAAAACGACTCACTGAAGATCACTGGCCCCCATTTCACACAAAACACTTTTAGTTGGTGATCAAAAGCATCTTAGTATCATTATGAACCTGGGAACAAGAAAACCTGAGTAACCATTTCTGACACACCTGGAGCACATCAGTGGGCCTCATGGCTAGAATAAAGTGTGTTTAAATGACTTACTTTCTTAACCGGGGAAAAAAACATACTGCTTATTTAAACAAAGATGGAGCAAATGGGATAAAGAACTTGTAGCCAGAGCCAAGCATCACATATGTGTGCAGCCAATTACAGATGAGCTCAAGCACTTATGTGAACAGTCACAACCTTTCAATCAGCCAGAATGTTTTTGCTTCTGTATTCAGCATTTGAGAATGAAATAGTGCAGAGAAAAACAAGCTAAAATTAAGATTTTCATTAAAAAAGATTAAAAAGTACAACTTTCAGGCCGGGTGCAGCGGCTCATGCCTGTAATCCCAGCATTTGGGAGGCCGAGGTGGGCGGATCACCTGAGGTCAGGAGTTTGAGACCAGCCTGGCCAATATGATGAAACCCTGTTTCTACTAAGAATACAAAATTAGCCGGGTAAGAGGTTGCAGTGAAATGAGATCACCCCAGTGTACTCCAGCCTGGGCAAGACAGAGTGAGATTCCATCTTTAAAAAAAAAAAAAGGACAACTTTCAGGACATGTCTTCAGGCCTATAAACATTCAACCATCTCCCACATCTCCTGTTGATCCAAATGAGTAAAACCTAAGTTGATATTCATGACTGATCGGCTGCAAGAGCCAGAGTCAGAGAGGGAATAAAGATTCCACTCTCTTTGTGATACTTTACACTGAAGGTTTTAATAATATTTTCCAGGTATGATATGGCAAACTTGCCACTTAACGTTCAGTTCTCAGAAAAAGCAAACCATCTAGGCAAGGTGGCCCTCATCCCCTCCTCCTACTGTCTCCATAGGCAGATATATATTCTTAACCTGCTATCAGTAAGAACCAGACACACCCGCAGGTCTGATATGGTGGCATCTGTTTTCATAAGCTCAGTTTCATGAAAGTAGAAGGTTACAAGAACAAAAAGAAAAGTGTGGAACGGGGCAAGTCTGTTCTGATTCTTGGCTTAGCTTTGGTAACTTAGCAATGAGGAAAAATGGATGTTATAGGCAGAAAATAAAGGAGCTCTTTTTCTAAGGATATCTGTGAGTAGAGATGCTCTGGTGACCAGGAATAACACAGGAGAGAGAAGCACCCACCTCTGTGTGAACCCACCAGCTGTGAACAAAGCACAGCTGGACCCCAGTGGGCACCCAGAGAAGGCAATGCTGCTCTAGCACCATACAGGGGTGCCAGGGTACATAGCAGGATCAGGGGCAGGGGGTGGCAGGGTGGGAAGAGAAAGCAGCAGCAACAGAAGGGATCAGAGCAGAAGAGGGGACCATGGCAGATGCTGCTGTGGGAACTGTGATGGGAGATTTGTTCATGCATATATGTAAGACTCCTCACTTGGGGGTGGGGTATAGTGCTTCATGCCTGTAATTCCAGCATTTTGAAAGGCTAAGGTGGGAGGACTACTTGAGGCCAAGAGTTCAAAACCAGCCTGAGCAACACAGCAAGATCTTGTATCTATACAACATACAAGAGTTAGCCGGGTGTAGTGATGTGCACCTGTAGTCCCAGCTGGTTGGGAGGCTGAGGTGGAAGGATGACTTGACCCTAGGATGCAGAGGCTGCAGTGTGCTATGACAGTACCACTGCACTCCAGCTTGGGAGACAGAGAGAGATCCTGCCTCTAAAACAACAACAACAACAACAAATAAACCAAAAAGACTTCTCATTTGGTGATCCCTAGAAGTGACAGGTGATACTTTGTGTGTGTGTTGGGGGCAGGGGCGGGTCCGAGGTTTTATATGAAGTAGCTGGGGTGAGAGCTGAGAAAACCTGTCCTGTAGCCATTGGTGTGAACTCTTCCCATAGGCTGGTGAGGCCGAAAGAAATTCAGATTACACAGGATTTACTATATACTTATTTTGGTCATTAATTATTTAACAAGTAAACTGCTTCAATGCTTTTATATACTGCTGGAATAGCAATGACTGCTTACAGCTCAAACCACGCATATTTCATGATTTAAGCTGATACACATAGATATTTATTCTTTGTTTGAAATATTAAAAATGGCTGGATCAAAGCTAATAAAGCTATTTATCAAATATCACCAATGGGTAGCTTGAAACTATATTAGAATAAAGAGTTACTGCGAATTTGCAACTTTACAAATACACGCTTTCAGTAGAAACTAAAAATTTTCTTCTGAATAAATCAATCAAGGGAGATCCCTATTGGTTGAAAGAGAGAGTCTATGAAATTGGAAATGGGGAGCCTGTTCAAATGAATAACCCACCACTATTCTGAATAACAGTTCTCAGAGGTCATTGTGTTAAGTCAAATAAACCAGCAGAGAAAGACAAATATCGCATGTTCTCTTCACACGTGGGAGCTAAAAAAGTGAATCTCACAGAAGTAAAAGGTAGAATCATGGTTACAGAGGCTGGGAAGGGAAGGGGGAAGAAGTTAGTTAAGGGGTACAAAAATACAGCTAGATAGAGTGCTAGTATTTAATAGTACAGTAGAGACATTACAGTTGACAATAATTTATTGTATATTTCAAAATAGCTAGAAGAAAATAATTGTAATGGTCCCAACAGAAAGAAAAGATAAATACTTGACATGATAGATATCCTAATGATCTCGATTTGATTATTACACAAGTATAAACATGCATCAAAACATCACATGTAACCCCAAAATATGTGCAACTATTATATATCAATTTTTAAAAGAAAAAAAGCCCTGGTTCTGCTGTATCTTTAAAATAAAGGATCATCCCAGAGGAATGAATAGAAAAAAACAGACCTTGCTCCTCTGTCTCTGTCTTTTCAACATTTACAGGAAAAGATTAGAAACAGAACGAATGCCAGACTATCCCCAAATGTCAAATATCAAAATGAATTGGTTGTCAATAGCAGAAAAATCACTTAGGAATTTAGTATGGTTATTTATTATCAAACTATCTTTTCATTTATACTGTACTTATTTTGTTTGAGGATTTAAATTCACAAAACTATAAAAATAATCAGAGACTAATAAATATCTGACTTTAGAGGTCCAGATTATGCAAAGCCATCCCCCAACACAGCAGGAAAACATATTGTCCTCCCTGATTTTCATTATTGCCCCAACCCTCAACAACCCTGGGCTTATTTCTTACTTTCTTGGATATCGGTCATTAAAGTAAACCATCAACCCTTCTAAAATAATTCAGTGACAATCAATTGATAACAAAGCACACATATTGCCCTGTGCTACACTGACCATAAACACAAGCAAAACAAGGCAGTGAAGTACAATGAGCTAAGTGAAGTGCTTCTACTGAGATGATGATAACCCCAACAATACACCAATAGGCAAAAATCTACAAAGCAATGTTAGTGAATTCAAAAAGATAATCTGTGATTCACAGAAGTTCTGGCCATATTTCTCCTATTCATTTTCCTTAGGCTGGCAGGCTTTACAGGGTTTTTTTTTTTTCTTTTCCCCTCTCCTCCAGACCCCTATCTCCTATGCAAGATGAAAATGTTCCTGAAGTATACACACAGCTTATCTTCAGGCGAAACAACCTCTATCTGAACACAGCAGGCAAGGCAGTTCATAACCCTGACAATGGAGCAGTACTTCTGAAAAAAACTCTCTAACCAGAATATTCAGAAATAGCATTCAATGTATTAAGCAATTAAATTTTGTCTCAACTGGGAGGTTCCAGGAACATGGCAGAGATTTGTTACTTCACTGCTTGTCAGCATTTCCTGCCTGCCTGTGGCCTATCATATGTCACATCCGTGGAGGTGGACAATTTCTCCTTGGTTTTCTGCTCACTAAAATATCCTGTCTTTGGGGGTACCTTATTTCACCTTACTTTTCTGATATTTTGCCAAATGAAATAAACTAATATCAGTTACAAATGGATCATCATTTTGAAATGTTGGTATTTATGAATATTTGGGTTTTAACAAAAATTGACACATAGTTATTATTTATTTATCACATGACAAATACTTTCATTAAATGCAGTCACATAATCTTCACTGCTCCACTGCCTCTCAGATCTGCAAGTTTATCATGTATATTCAAATGACTTCAGTGGCAGCAACAAACAAAAAGGATGGATTATAAATCTATTTTTTATGTCCCTTAATGTTTAAATGACTTGAAGAATAAAGATTTTTTATGGTCTTTGCTTTTCGCACAGATTCTAAATCAGGAAAGAATTATTTTCATTAGTTTAAAATGTCCTTTCTAGAAAACTACCTCCCTTAAATGTGTGTAATACTTTACAACAGGGGTGTCTAATTTTTTGGCTTCCCTGGGCCACACTGGAAGAAGAGGAATTGTCTTGGGCCACACATAAAATACACTAGCACTAATGATAGCTAAAAGAAGGGAAAAAAATGCAAAAGAAAAATCTCATAATGTTTTAAGAATGTTTATGAATTTATGTTGGGCTGCATTCAAAGCTGTCCTGGGCCACATGCAGCCCGCAAGCCACAGGTTAGACAACCTTGCTTTACAGCATTTCAAAACATTTTCACAGACATCACCACAGTTGATCCTCCCAATAACCCTATGAGGTAGTATATTCCAAAACCAGAACAGGTCGAGTCACATCAGCAGTGCAGAGGAAGGAGACCAGGAGCCAGTGTTTTCTTGCATGCCTATGATGTGCCCAACCGACTTCTGTGTATGTCCTCTCAGTTTCTCACTTGTTGGATCCCCCCAGACACCACAGCACAATTCGAAACAGAGGAAGTATTCAATTAAGAGCAACTATATTATTGTTGTTATTATCACTATTGTCCTCATTAAAGAAACTTGGTCCCAGAAAGCCTACGACCAAGCAGTCAAGCCCATCTCCTAACCTCAGGTCTGGCATTTTTTTTTTTTTAATTCCATTTAGAACTTGTGATAACATAACATTCAGGTACTTTCCCAGGATATTTGTCCTCACCCACCCTAGAAATGACTAGCCCTGACTTGTACATATATGTATCTCAACCATGAGCTGATTTCTTCAGTTTTATAATGTGCAGGTCTGGGTCTCCAGAGAAGCCATTGCTGATGCCATCTCTGAGGACACTTTTTTAACACAACAAACACCACTATGTGAGCAGTAAAAGGGTGATTACAGCTAACCTTGTAAAGGTCACTGAACAGCCAGCAAGCAAGAGCTTCCGCCACCTGGACTAAATCTGACCTGGTGACCCAGAGCTGGGAAGCTCTGTACCTCCAGACCAAGGCCAGGCTTCCAAGTACACTGAAAAAGACAGCCACTTTTCCTGCCATCAAAGAAGCAGTATTTCAGAATTTAACATTTAAATGCCATCTGGTTTTACCCACTTCAGAGTAAAAGCCTGGTTTTTGGCACCAAAAATGGCTTTGCCAAGTTGTTCTGGATTTCATTCAGGCCTTGCTAATGCATTCTGTCATATATCAGCAAAGGCTTGATGAGGAGCTAACATAATCTTTTTAGGACAGATAACTAATGCTCTACCCAGGCTATCCAGGGTGTTTCTTTATGATTGGATTTGTTTTCTGCTAATCCTTAAGATTAGTTACTGATGACCTAATCTAAAACCTTAAAAAGTTCAAAAACTCTTTTAAACTTAAAAACTAATAGGTGATAGTCTTCCAACAATTCTGTAAGGCCCTCCACAATACGCCACCGCCAGCTTTCTCAGACTTATTTTATAATCACTCTCTTTTGCAAGATGTTATTGCCTGCACAGAACCACTCCTCAAACAAAGTGGTTCTCAAACTTAATAGTGCATCAGAATCCCCTAGAGAGTCTGTTAAAACATGGCTTGCTGGGCCCTAACCCCAGAGTTTCTGATTCAGTAGGTCCAAGAGGAGACCAAGAATTTGCATTTCTAACTATTTTCCAGGATCACACTTTGACACCCCTGGCTTTTCCAGAGCTACCTATTTGGAAACGCTATTGCATTCACCCGGAATGTCTTCTTCTCAGTAACCTCTACTCAAATCACGTCAAAACCCCAATGTGGACTAAGGAAAGCTCAGGTCTCCTCCCTCTTCCTCCACTCTCAGCTCCATTCACCCTTATTCCCCAGGACTGGTCAAAGGAAGGATCAGGGAGTCCACTAAGGAAAGAGAAGCAGGGAGTGCATGCTGGAGGACCCTGGTAGTCCCGTTTTTTCCTTTTTGCTTCTACACCAACAGAAGAGCATGTAAGAGCACAAACCCTGGCAACTCCCCCTCTGGAGCTCCTCTCAGCCCTAGCCCTTAGCTCCTCTCTCAGCTATGGGGCCACATTCTCTCTGGGTCCATTTCCTACAGTGCTGGGGTAGGGTTCCACTAGAGTAGTCAACCCCAAGATTCAGGATCTGGGTTTAACAAAAAGAAGGAAAGACGTGCATCATGGTCTAACAGGGTTTCTAGAATTCTGTGCTGAGATTCGGGGCTCAATCATGAGCTAATAAGGAAGCTTCATGGCTTTACTTCACAGAAACAGATGGTTCTCACAGGGTTCTGGAGAAGAGGAGGCACTGCTGGGCCAAGGCAGGATTTGGTGTTCCTGAGTCCCCTATTAAATTGCCAAATGAATGTCTTCTTAATAGCTGTGCATCTTGACTCCTAATACTCATCTTCAAATCCCAGCCACTTCATAAAACCTTTCCCACCTGTACTTCTATCCCAAGGACACACCTTTGCTACCTTATAAGTCCTTTCAGTTTACAGCAAATACTCATGAAATTTTTACTGAAATTAACTGAAGCATACTGATTGAAGAGTATACATTGGGTGTGTACAATTATCAAAGCAGAAATCAAAGAAACTACATATCAAAAGTATTTTATATTTGGAAAACTTGCTTTTAATAGCAAAAGTCCCCTCTAAATGCACTTCAGGAGAAAGACATTAAGCCACAGAACAGAAGAGCTTTTATAATACTTCCGAACATTTTCAAGCATTCTATTTATAATTTCCAGGAGCATATTTATAATATAATACATATGGCCCTCTAAAAACTTTTAATAGTACAAATAAAATTAATCTTGGGAAACAATGCAGAAAATAATGTTCTTGAAAATTTTTTTCCTTAGACACATGGTCCCTATTTAGCTTATATGACTGAAGTAATATAAAGTATATAAATAAGATAAAGTATATGAATATAAAGTAATATAAGTATGAAGTGAATTTTTCTTTAAAGGAAACTCACCTTAGAACTAGCTGTAACATCACATCTTCACAATGTAAACCAATGAGAGTTCTGAATAATGCCAGGGACACCACACAAAGCTGGGAAGCAAGAGACACATATTCTAGTTCAGATGTTGGAACAATAACTGCACTCCCCACAGATGGTAAATAAATCAGAATTACAAAATAAAATGGCCTCTCTTTTTATTTAGCAGTTTTGATAAAAAGCATGCTGTTGCCAGAGAGAACGTGTATTCAGGATATCAATTCTCCTATAGGATTTGATTAGAAAGCCAGTGTCTGGAATTATGCCACGGTGCAGAATTACCCTCCTACAAAAATGCCTGTGCTCATATTTCCAACTTTTAAAGATCCAGACAGATAAGCATTCCCTCTACAGTTCTCTCTCTCTCTCTCTCTCTCTCTCTCTGTCTCTCTCTCTCTCTCTCTCTCTCTCTCACACACACACACACACACACACACACACACACACACACTCACACTCCTGTTTAGGTAATTTGTTTTCCTGAGTTATTTTCAAATATGACATTAGTTATTTACAAGACAGGGCTCAACGAAAATTGCATATAACCTAGCCAAGTCTCCCTTCAGAGTTCTTAGCCTCAAGCTCAGCTCCTCTCTTGGCTTTGGGGCAAACATTTTCCTTGGCTCCATTTCCCATTGTGCTGAGGGTGAGATAATGTTCTTTTCAAAGATGTTCATTAAAAAACAAGAATTCTATCAATCTCTGATTTCCAAAAAGAAAAGGTAAACTGCCAAATAGGGGAGATACCCAAAGGTGTATTGTAAAATCTTTGTACCCTTTTGAGAGTAAGCTTTTATCAATCTACTGGGCAATTTAAGTAATTTTAAGCTCTCATTCTTTGTATGGGAGAATAAATGCTAGTCTGTCTTCTAGGCAGGCTGGGCTTAAAATCTGGCCAATGAAATCCACAACAAGGCTGCAAAGAAAGAGTTGTACTTAGCCTAACCCAAAACATCTCATAGTCTCAGGGCAGGTCATGTACTTGCAGTTAGCTAGAAGCAACATACTCTGTTCCCATTACCAAGTCTTTGCACATGTGGTTCCATTACCTGCAATGCCTTTTCCTGACTCCTCCACTGCCTATCTATTCTCAAAGTCTTAGCTAAGGCATCACCTCCCTTAAGAAATCTTTCTGTTCTGTCTCACAAGATTATCATCCAACACATCCTTTCCCCTGCTTAGTTAGGTTTCCTTCTTATCTATTGCCACAGTATCCCCTGCAAATCACTGTTACTTTATCAGATTACATAGTAATAGTATATAATAATTACATAACTGCTCACTGTTAAGGGTGAGCAGCAGAATGTATCTGTCTTTTTATTATTAAGTTGTAGGAGGTGTTTACTCTGTATACAAAGTACCTTATCAGATACATGATTTGCAAAAATGTCCTACCACTCTGAATTATCTTTTCAAGTTCCTGTGGCTGTCCCTTGAAGGCAAAAGTTTTTAATTTTGATAATTTCCAATTTATCAATTTTTTCATTTGTTGTTCATGCTATTGGTGTCATATCTAAGAAAACATGGCCAAAGCTACAAGGAGTTACTCCTATGATTTCTTGTAAGAGTTTTATAGTTTTATCTCTTACCTTTAGGTCTTTGATTCATTTTGAGTTAATTTTTTATATGGCATGAGGTGAGGATTCAGCCTTATTATTTTGCACATGGCCAATTGTCCCAGCACCATTTGTTAAAAAGACTATTCTTTCTCCCACTGAACGGTCTTGAAATCTCATTGAAAACTAAGTGACCATAGATATACGAGGGATTTTCAATTCTGTCCCACTGATCTGTATGTCTATCCTGTACCACACTGCTCTGATTACTGTAGCTTTCTAGAGTTTTGAAACCAGGTATGGTGAGTTCTCCAACTTGTTTCTTCAAGTTTGTTTTGACTATTCTGGGTCCGCTGCATTTCCATATGAATTTTAGAGTCAGCTTATTCATTTCAACAAAGAGGCCAGATAGGAATTTTATAGAAAAGCACTTAAACTGTAGATCAATTGGGGAGTATTCCTATATTAACAATATTAAATCTTCGGGTCTATGAATTGGGATGTTTTCCCATTTATTTAGATCTTCTTTAATTTAAACAATGTTTTATAGTTTTTGCAGCATAAGTTATGCACTTCTTTTGTAAAATTTATTCATATTTTATTCTTTTGATGTTATTGTAAATTGATTTTTGTACATTAATCTTGTATCCTGCAACCTTACTATACTCATTCATTCTAACAATTTTTAGTGCATTCCTTAGTTTTTTTACATACAAGAGCATGTCATCTACAAACACCGATTATTTTACTTTTAATGTAAATGTTTTTTATTTTCTTATTTATTTGCCCTGGCTAGAACTTCAAGTACCGTCTTGAACAGAATTAATGAGAGAAGGCATCTTATCTTATTCCTTATCTTACTGAAAAAACATTCTTCACCATTAAGTATGATTTAGCTCTGACTTTTTCATAGATGCCTTTTATCAGATTGCTGGGAAATTCCCCTCTATTTCTAGTTTGTTGAGTATGCTGTTGATAATCATGATGTTTTCCTTTATCTTGTTGATACGATGTATTACATTAATTGATTTTCAGATCTTAAACCAGCTTTACAATCCTAGTTTGATAAATCCCACTTGATCATGGTGTATAATCCTTTCTACTTACTCTAATTTCATTTGCTAGTATTTTATTGAGAATTTTGGGGCCCATATCCATAATAGCTGTTAGTGTATAGTTTTCCTGTGGTGTATTTGTTTAGTTTTGGAATCAGAATAACACTGGCTTCACAGAATGAGTTGAGATGTATTTCTTCCTCTTCTGATTTTTGAAAGATTCTGTGAAGAATTTGTATAAATTATTAATTTTTTAAACTGATAAAGAATACATAACATAAAATTTAACATCTTAATGATTTTTAAGCATATAAATCACTAGTGGTAACTATATTCACATTGTTGCACAACAGATCTCTACAATGTTTATACTTTGCAAAACTGAAACCACCAAACCACTCCCCATTTTCTCCACCACCCAGCTCCAGGAAACCATCATTTTACCCTCTGTTTCTTTACGTTTGACTATTTTAGATCCTTCACATGAGTGGAATCCTACACGTCTTCACGTCTTTTTTGTGACTGGCTTACTTCATTTGCATAATACCCTCAAAGTTCATGTTGTAGCATATGACAAGATTTCCTTTTTTTAAGGTTGAATAACATTCTATTCCACAGTGTATATATGACATACTCTCTTATCTATTCATCCATCAATGGACAATCTAGGTTGCTTCAACCTCTTGGCTATTGTGAATAATGCTGCAAGGAATGTGGGTGTACAAATATCTTTTCAAGATCCTGCTTTAAATTCTTTTAGATATGCACTCAGAAGTGGATTGCTGGATAATGCAGTAATCCTATGTTTAATTTCTTGAGAAACCTCCATGCTGTTTTCCATAATAGCTGCACCAATTTACATTCTCATAAACAAAGCACAAAGGTTTCAGTATTTACACATTCTCACCAACACTTACTTTGTTCTATTTTTTTTAGAGTGGCCACCATAATGGATATGAGATAATATCTCATTGTGGTTTTGATTTACACTTCTCTAATCTTTTCATACGTTTTTTGGTCATTTGTATGTCTTCTTTGTAGAAATATTCAAGTACTTTGTTCATTTTTAAGTTAGATTATTTGGGTTTTTGATGGGGATGAGTTATATAACTTTTTATATATTCTGGATACTATCCCTTATCACATATATGACTCATAAATATTTTCTCCCATTTTGTAGGTTGCCCTTTCACCTTGTTGATTATTTCATTTGATATGCCTAACTTGTTAAGTTTAATGTACTCCCACCTGTCTATTTTTCCCTATGCTTCTGGTGTCATATCCAAGAAATTATAACAAAATCCATTGCTATGAAGTTTTTCTCTATGTTTTCTTCTAGGAGTTTAGTAGTTTTAGATCTTATGTTTAGGTCTTTGATCCATTTGAGTTAATTTTTTATATTGTGTAAGGTAAGGGTTCGACTTCATTCTTTTGCATATGGATATCCAATTTTACAAGTATCATTTGTTGATGAAACCATCCTTTCCTATTGTGTACTCTTGGCAGCCTTGTCAAAGATCATTTACCATAATGCAAGGGTTCCTATCTGTTTCATTCTGTTTTCTATTCTGTTTCATTGGTCTTTATGTCAGTACCACACTGTTTTGTATTACTATTGCTTTGTAATATGTTTTAAAATAAGGAAGTGTGAGCTCTCCAACTTTTTCCTTCTTTTTCAGTATTATTTTAGCTATTCATGGTACCTTGAGATTTCGTATATATTTTAGGATTTTTTTTCTATTTCTGCCCAAAAGATGCCATTCTGATTTTGTAAGAAATTGCATGGAATCTGTAACTTGCTTTGAGTAATATGACCATTTTAACAAAAAATAAGTTTTTCAATCCATGAACATGGAATGTCTTTCCATTTATTTGTTCTTTCATTTCTTTCAATAATATTTTATAGTTTTCAGTGTACAAGTCTTTCACCTCCTAAGTTTATTCCTAAGTATTTTATTCTTTTTGATGCTATTATAAATAGCTTTTTCAAATTTCGTTTTCAGATTGTTCATAGTTAATATACGGAAATTATTTATGTATGTTGACTTTGTATCCTGCAACTTTACTGAACTTGCTTGTTAGCACTAACTTTTTTTGGTGACCTTTTTAGGGTTTTCTATATATATGATCATGTTGTCTACAAACAGAGGCAGTTTAACTGCTTTATTTCCAATTTAAATGCCTTCTATTTCTTTCTCTTGCCTAATGGCTCTGGCTAGGACCTCTAAGTGGCCATCCTTGCCTTGTTTCTGATTTTAGAGAAAAAGCTTTTAGTCTTTCACCATTGTGTAAGATGTTAGGTGTGGGCTTTTCATGTAAGGCCTTCACTATGTTGAAGTTGTTTCTTTATATTTCTGGTTTGTTGAGTGTTTTTATCATGAAAGGTTGTTGAATTTGTCAAGTGCTTTTTCTGCATCAATTGAGGTTACTCTGTGGATTTTGTCCTTCATTCTGTTAGTGTGGTATATTACACTGACTGACTTTCATATGGTGAAGCATCATTGCATTCTAGGAATAAGTGACACCTGGCCATGTTGTACAGTCCTCATCATGTGCTGTTGAATTCTTTTTGCTAGTATTTTGTTAAAAATTTCTGCATCAATAGTCATCAGGGATACTGGCCTCTAGTTTTCTCAAAGTATCTTTGTCTAGCTTTGGTATCAGGGCAAAATTGGCCTCATAAAATTAGTTTAAAATGTTTCTGGATCTTCAATTTTATAGGCATTTGAGGATGACTGATGTTAATTCTTCTTTACATGTTTGGTAGAATTCGTCAGGGAAGCCATCTGGTCCTGGGTTTTTCTTTTTTTAAAGATTTTGAAATTATTATTACTGCTTTGATCTCCTTACTAGAGGTAAATCTGTTCAGATTTTTTTATGTCTTCATGATTCAGTCTTGGTAGGCTATATGTTTTTAAGAATGTATCCAGGTCTTCTAAGTCATCCAGTTTGTTGGTATATAATTGTGGTATGCTCTTTTTTAATTCTATGGCATAAGTTGTAATGTCCCCTTTCTCATTTCTAATTTTAGTTATCTGAGTCATCTCTCTTTTTTCTTAGTTAATCCAGTTAACGGTTAATCAATGTTGTTGTTATTGTTGTTTCAAAAAACCAAGTCTTGGTTTCATTGATTTTTTTTTCTATTCTTTATTTTTGCTCTGATCTTTATCATTTTCTTCCTTCTGATAACTTTAAGTTTAGTTCATTCTTCTTTGTCCAGTTTCTGGAGATGTATAGATTGTTGCTTCAAGATTTTCTTTTTTAACCTAAGGATTTACAGCTATAAAATTCCCTCTTAGTACTGCTTTCACTGCATCTCATAAGTTTTGGCATATTGTGCTTTTATTTTCACTTGTCTCCAGATATTTTCTAAATTCCCTTGTGGTTTCTTCTTTGGCCCAAGAATCTGTTGCTTAATTTGTATGTATTCATAATTTTTCCAGTTTTCCTTCTGCTATTTATTTCTAGTTTCATTCCAGTGCAGTCAGAAAAAAATTATTTGTGTGCTTTCAATTTTTGTAAATGTGTTAAACCTTGTTTTGTGACCTAACACGTGGTCTATCCTGGAGAATATTCTATGTGTATTTGAGAAGAACATATATCCTGCCATTGCTGGATGAAGTATTTGATACATGTCTGTTAGGTCTAATTGGTTTATAGTGTTGTTCAAATTCTCTTGTTTCTTTCTTTATCTTCTGTCTGATATTTCTATCCACTAAATATTGGGGCATTGAAGTCTCCTGCTATTATGTGCAGCTGTCTATTTCTCCCTGTAATTCTGTCAATATTTGGTTCATATATTTGGGAACTCTGACTTTATGTTCATATATTTATAGATAATTTTTATATGCATATATATATATACATATATATATACATATAATCTTTATATCTTACTAGTGAATTGACCCTTTTATCATTGCATAATGTCATTTCTTATCTCTTGTGTCCTTTTGTGTCTCTTTAAGTCTAATTTTTAAATATAAGTACAACCCTCTGCTTTCTTTTAGTTACCATTTGCATAGGATATCTTTTGACTTTCAGCTTATGCATGTTCTTAGATCAAAAGTGAGTGTCTTTCAGATAGTATATTCTTGGATCTTGTCTTTTTATCTCTTTAGCCAGTTTATATCTTTTGATTGGTGTGTTTAATCCATCTACATTTAAAATAATTACTGAGATGGAAGGACTTACTATTGCTGTTTTGTTGTTTTTTAATTAAGTGTCTTGCAGCTATTTTATTCCCCTTTTCCCAATGAACAGATGGAACATAAGAAGCAAGCAATGTCAAGCAAGCAATTCACTCTTCTCTTTCCCTCACAAGGCAAAAGTCAGTAGTTGGAAGTTTTCTCTGGATCTTGCTACACTGTGGTGGGGAAGGGGCATGGCTAGAGCAGGTAATAATGCCACCAGTTTTCCTGCACATTCAATATGTCTCTTCTTGGCTTTGTGCTGCAACCTTTTAATTGGTGTTCTTACAAAGTTTCTCAAGTTCTTACAAAGGCAATTTGCATAAATTTTTGTTAAGTGGGCTTCTCTGTGAGAGAATAAGGACCTGGGTCTTCCTATTCCACCACTTTGCTGACCTTACTTTTTAACTTGTCCCTAAATGTTTGATAGAATTCACCAGTGAGACCATCTGGGTCTGCTTTTCTTTGTGAGTAGCTTTTTAAATTTCTATTTTAATCTCTTAGTTTGATATAAATTTATTTAGATTTTCAATTTCATAAGTTTGTGTCTTTCTAGAATTTGTCTATTTCATCTAAGTTATCCTCTAGCATACAGTTGCTCATAGTAATCACTTATAATTGTTTTTATTTCTGTAAGATTGATAGTAATATCCTCCTCTTTCATTTCTCATTTTAGTAATTTGAGACTTCCCTCTTTTTTCTCAGTCTAGCTAAAGGTTTGTCAATCTTGTCAAAAATTAACTTTTTATTTCACCTATCTTCTTCATTTTTAAAATTTTCAATTTCATTAACTTCTGCTCTAATCCTTATTGTTTTCTTTCTGCTTGCTTTGAGTTTGTTCTTCTTTTTCCAATGTGTTGAAGTAGAAGCTTAGGTTGCTGCTTTGACCTATCTCCTCTTCTTTTAACATATGAGTTCACAACTATATATTTCCCTTTAAACAATGCTTTTACTGTATCTCGTAAATCTGGGTATATTTCACCTTCATTCTCATTTATCTCAAAGTAAATTCTCATTTCCCTTGTGATTTTTTTCTTTGACCCGCTAATTAGAAGTGTGTCGTTTAAATTCCATATACTTGTGAATTTCCCAAATTTCCTTCTGTCAATAATTTTTAAATTTCCATCCATTATGATCAGAGAACATAGTTTGCATGATTTAAATCCTCTTAAATTCACTAAGGCTTGTTATATGGCCTACCATATGGTCTGTCTTGGAGAATATTTCATGTACATTTGATGAGAATATATATTATATTGCTGTTAAGTGTGGTGCTAATTGAATATTTTCTCTAGTATAACATTTTAATTCCTTTAAATGATTTTTCCACTATATTTTTTTAGTTATTTTCTTGCTTTAGGCCTTCCAGTATACATTTTAACTTAACATAATTTACTTCAGATTTATATTAAATTAGCTCTGGTAAAATATAGAAATATTACTCCTACATAAGTCTATTCCCTCTTCCTCCCTTTGTGCAATTATTATTATACGTATTACCTCTATATATGTTACAAAATGAATGACAGATACATTCTCATTTGTTTGCTTTTAAAACAAGAATTGCAATTAAATAGAGACAGGCTTTGGGGAGGAGTATTTTTCAAGCTAATCAGAGCTTCAAAATACAGAATGACCACCCAAATTCACAACTTTCCAAACTTCCATTTCAAAAAAACTCATGGGCAGAAATATGATCTCTAATACCCAGACTTGATGCACTCTGGTTCCTTGGCTTTACCTGCACTTAAGTCCACATATTCCCCTGCACCTTGCCCCCACAGAAGTGCATTCTGCTAGTTCTACCGAAGAAAATGCTAATACAGATAAATCGAGAAAGACATCCTATGAAAGGCAGTAAGTGTCACCTCTTTGAAAGAAGAATTCCTGAGACCAAAACATATTACCCTGTTCATCTCTACCTAAGTAGAAAGAAAGTAATGGCCACAAAATAACAACAAAAGAAAGAAAGAAAGAAAAGAAAGAATGGGAGGGGAAAGAAGAAGAAAAAAGACAGCAAAAGAGAATATTCATAATTTCATTCCCAAAACAAACTCTCCTGAAATCTGTTCTGAGTTATAAGTTCCCTTCTGATAGGGTTCTCCTTACCCGAAACGGGGTGTTGATTCGACTCGTGAGAGTGTCTAGGATGTGGACGTTCTCGTGCTGGTGCAATAGGATAAAACGGAGGAAGATCTCAAGCAGTGCTGGCTCGGAGATGCTACGCAGGAAAAGGTCCAGATACGCAGTTGTGGTCATGACCTCCTCCACAGTCACCTACAACCAACAACAGAGTAAGCAAAGGTGAGCCTCCTCTTGATGCTGTGATAATGCCTCTCCCGTGGATCCCAGCCTCACCACAGTGACTCCATCAAGACAAGAACACACCTGCCACAAAAACACACTTCAGAGCTTTATCTGAAGCCTATAACCTATTCACATTCCACAATACCTCACACTGCTTCCACCCTTTAATTCAGTAAGAGAAAAGAAAGGCATAATCAATTCAAGTGTTCTGACAACTCTAATCATCAAATGCAGTTCAAATACCATAAAGATTTTAGGGTGTAATCAAAAATGAAGAAAAAAGATAATTGAAAGTATTTACACGGTTAGTAAAGGATTAATTAGAAAGCTCAGAATAACTTGTTTCATTATTAGTCATTCAATAAACATTTATTGGGACCTGCTATGTACAAGGAACTGAAAACATAAGAACATTCTTTATGTCCAAGAAGATGAGCTATAACAAGCAAAATGATAATATAAATTGCAAAGGAGCAGTACAGACACAAAGTGCTACAGATGTTCAGATGTGTTTCTGGAGAGTTGCAAGTCAAATTTTTGTAACTGAATAATACACATCAAATGTTATTTATAAAGCACTATAAGAACTTATAAGGTAACCATGACTTTTTTATAATACAAATTAATATTTGCTACCTGGTATGATATTCTCATGAGTAAAATGTCAACTTTTCAGTGAATCTAAGACTCTGAAGAGCCAAGTTTTTCAAGAAGCTGAGGATCTGATGCTTAACGTATCAAAATTCTAACCTTAAATGCTTTTATTGTGAATATTTTAAGAGCTAGTATATACATCTTTGCCCTCCTAAGATGAGAATATACCATCTCTTAATAAAGAGGTCATTCCCAGAGTCATCAATTGTCCTGCATAAGTATAAAGAAACAGCCACATCTGAATGCGTGAAAACCACCAGAGAAATAGTTCAAACTTTCAGATTCTAATACCACATACCCTAGAAATCTTAGCAATACTTCCACCATGATACAAATGCACTCAATTCTAAACAAAACAGATGGCAATACTTTTTGAGTAATTTTTATTTTCTCTTTTCCATTTTTTAAAATCTTCTTTCTTTCTCTTCCTTTAAAAGTGTTAGCTGTCACATTATCGTACGGTTACTGGGCCATTCCTTTTATATTCCATTCCTCTTCCCCTTTTAATTTTCGGCTTTCAAAATCCACAGATTAGTTTAGAAACCAGATGTCCAGATCTGCTACATAAGTGTAGATGAGCCCTGAGTGGATGCATCTGTGCATAAAGGCTTGGAGATATCTATTTTGGCTGCTAAAATTACTTTTAAAAAGTTCTTGGTGCTCAGCTATCTTCTGGATAGATGAGCCCAGGTGGATAAGATATTACCAAATCAGTGTGTCTGTTTTCTTTATCCTAAGCAAGGCATGCTCATCCAGTGCATTAGAATCTAATGAGAAGTCATTCCACAGTGGGCTGAGTACATAGCATAGTGCAAATCCCCTTCTCCCAGCTTGGTGCCAACATTGCAAACTCTCAGACATTCAATACACCACTATGTCATCTGACCAACTTCAAAGAGCTCTCTGTGACCCAAATATAGCAACAGAAACAGGTAAGTATCGACTATTTAACAAATAAATCGCATTCAGAAGAGTGCTTTTCATGGTCTGCCCCTGCTTCTAAAATACACTGCTTCCATCTTCGTGTTTCCTGATGTTTTCTAGTCCCATGTATGGAGCACTCCGAATGCTGCCCTGGGACACACACTGTGTTTTTTCCTTTATTACCCCAATGCAATGTACAAAGCCTGGCACATAGAATGTACTTTATCCTGAGTGAATGATAGCCCCAAAGATCTAGTAATTTATATTTGCCAGAGTTTAGTTTGACTTTTAACTATTGTTTATCCTCTACATGTGTCCTGAAGGACCCAGAGAGTAGAGACATATTTTATAAAGATCACTGTAATAATTGATGTCACCAATCATAGCTAAGAGGGAAATGAATCCTACATTAGCTCACATCCACTTCACTACTGCAAACTTGGGACCCTTTAGCAGAAATTTAATCCTAAATGATTTAGGCTACAATCTAATTCCCCAACAATCTTGATCACTAGAAAAAAGTTGCATAATCATTCCAAACAGGCCATGTATATAGCTTCTGTAATACAATATTTTCAACTTATCTATGGAACACTACTGAACTGACATGTCATACAAATCCAAGCCTTTGTACCAATAATGTAGCATCAGCTTTTCCCCCTTTAAGTTACACATGACCTTAATAAGCTCGAAAGCACAGCAATAAACTCCCTGGACTGTAAGTCACAGTCTTTGAGGGCTAACATGAAAGAAGGGCAGTAAACATCTATTGTTTACTACTGTTAGGCTATATAAATGAAAAGATTTCTTTTTTAGAAATCAAAGCTGTCATTTGCAAGCTAAGAGGATTTAAGAAGGCACTTGGAGGGGCAGACTTTATATAACATGGTATAAATATGAAAAACCCAAGTCCATTAAGCATTAAGTTGCATATTCTTTATAAACTGAGGTCATACTCACCTTAAACAAATACCCAAACCAGGAAAATCTGGCTCCCTCTCCTTCCATCTTTTCCTTCCACCATATCCTCAGAGTCTTTAGGAGCTTTTTATACCAGAAAATCTTTTCCTGCCCCATTATCTTACTTTCAGAAACTTCCTCTAATCCCCCAAATAGGCAACCTCCTCAACAAGGATGAGACCAGAGCCTAAGTGTGATCACTTGGAAAGCTAACAATAATCCACCAGGGAAAAGATGCTCTGCTGTGCAGAATGTAAAACAAAATCTTCTGCTAATGTCCTAAAGACGTGTTAGCAAGACTGGAAAGTAGCATCCTCTTCATGCTCCCGTTATGAAGGGCAATCAGCTGCTAATGTAAGTAAGACTTTCTGTCTTAGAGATGACTATCAATATTTATTTACCTTGTTCTATAAAGAATTGCAGGTAGCTACAAATGTATATAGCAATACTAATAGAAACAGTAAATGACATTCTACCTTACTGCCATATCATACACAATAATAAAGTTTAGGGATACTAAGCTTAAGAATGTTATTTCATACTAAAGGTGGGCCACAATGACTGAAATAACCTAAAGAAAATTCAGTGTTTACAAACAAATAATTGTCCCTGACAAGAACAGTTGTTACTCTAAAGAATGTATCTGCTTAAGCACTATTATGTGATTATTTTCAACCCAAGTTCCAGAATAGAGGCCTGACTCAGGTACTTGATTTTACTGCTATCGAGGCCAGTTTAGTCCATCCTTGGAAATAAACCTTTCTCCGCCCATCTTCTCCACATTCCTAAAGCCCTTGCCCGGGTCTTTCTTCACACCAAGAATCTTCACCAATCCCTTAAGCTGGTGTTTTTGAAACTATAGTTTGAGATCCAACAGTGGGTAGTGAATTCAGTTTTTGGTTCATTAATGGTTTAGACCAGATTCCAATAGAAAATTAAATTAGAGTACCCTGCATGTATGTAGTAAGGGCAAGTCCTGTTTTGTCAAACTTGTGTATACATATTTTGTTGGAAATGTACATAAGGCAACACATATGTGCTTTGCTTGCAAATTCAGTAAATACACATATATATGAAAACATATAAAATATATTTCTGACTGTGAGCTGCAGCCAAAAACATCTGAAAAACACCACAGGGGCACAGTTCACAATCATCTATGCCAACCTTTCACCCACCAGTTCTCATCCCCAGTTCCCTGTGCTCCAAGCTATAACCCAGCATGGTCTGGCCTGAAAGAAGTGCACACATAGGTGAGATCAGTTTTCTGAACAGAATGGCGACTGAATTTACAGTCAATCTACTCTTTTTTGTCTTAGGCTAAGAGCTCCAAAAGCGTGTTTTTATTTTTTATTAGAATTTCAAGCTTCTCAGAAATAGGCAAAATGGACAGTGTGTTTTCTTTAAAAAGGAGGTGGGTGGAGAGGGGGGAGGTGACATCACACATCACATTCCACTTCTATAAAACCAAAGCTCTACAAAAAAATTAAAGCCAGAACCAAACCCAGTCATCATGCCCACAACTGCAGCAGCACATTAATTTATTGCACAGCATAGGAATGAAATTGAGCATATAGACATTCTGACCTTTCTGTAATCAGCTCTAGCTGAGCGATCCCATTTGCATCTAAATTAGCACCAGAATCCTCACTATAATGGCAGGTTTATGTGTGTCCTGAAAAATACATTTCCCACCTGCTAATTGTTTTTTTGTGATCTAGTCACATTGGAACAAACAGATGGATCCTACCTTCTGTCACTCAGGCAGGTGGCAGGCAGTGGGGTCAGGTGACAGGCAGTGGGGTCAGGTGACAGTGGCACCCTCTCCAAGTTGGTAGCCACCCTTCCTTGGCTTTTCCTTTGATACCAGAGGGAAAAACTAGCTAACTGCTGGTTCAGCTGGGTCATCGGAGAGTCATCAGCTCCAGTGGCTCCAACCAGAGTGATGCTCTCACTGAACTCCGCAGAGGGGAAAAGAATGACAAGGCTGGATCACACAGAACAGGAGTGAAAGGGTCTCAACAGGGAACACAGGCTACGAGCCTGCCCGCTGCTGCCAGAGAGAGCCAAGCCACCTGCAGCCCAGGGCAGCAGCTGGATGGGCTCTTCATAGCCATCTTCTCCCCTCCAAGGACAGGAAGCGCCAAGAAGAACATTCAAGTACAAAAGGGAAGACAGACACCCTGGTTCTCAGCAAGCAGCTCTACTGTTTCAGCCAAAAATTCAGGACAGAAAATATTCAATGCCTCCAGATCTGAAAATAGTCTGCAGTTGATGATTCTGGCTCCCTCCCGCCGGCTCCCCCACGCTTCCCTTCTGCTCTCCGACCTCTAGGCCACACGCTACATTGCTAGCACCGCCAGAGGCCAGCTGGGGAGGTGAATGGAGGTGACAGCCAAAGTCAGCAAGTTTGCTGATTTATTCCTAAAATA